CAAGGAGAGGCGAGGCGTTCAGTGTCATTTAGTGAAATTGCCTGTAATGTTTGTGTCCCTGAATGGCAGCAGCATCTTCAGCACCCGACTGCCACTTCCCCTCGCTGCTCAGCTGCATTGTCTAAGCGCTACTCGTAGATTTTTTCTTCTTTATGCGCTTTTCCGTGTGTCAGTGCCAGCTGCGGCTGCTTGTCCCTCCGCTCCCCCTTGCTGCATCTGCATTTTTCATTAGCCTGCGCACTTTTTAGCTGCAACTCGAGCTTGGCTGGGAGCCCACCTGTACTTTGTTCTGCCTCTGCCAGAGCTTGTGATTGTTGATTTTGCAAGTGCCTTTTACACTTGAATCAGTCTAACTCTCAACTCGAGTCGAGTTTAACTGCATAATAAAATTTGCACACATGCCAACTTCCAGTTAGTAGCTGCCGACATAGACGTGCACTTCTTTATGCGTGCTGAGTTATGTGCTCCGCATAAGTTATCCACTTTGTCCATTTACATATCTGTTTTCATTTATTTGCCAGTTTTGTGACAAGCATAGTCACTAGCACTCAGTATAACAGCAAATTGGAACCCAAATCGATTTGAGAAGCTCGACATTAACATTGGTTACACAATTTAAAAATAAAAGGCATGTGTGAATAAATAATTATATTGCAATACTTAGGTATTAAAGTGTTTTCTTTGCGTCGATGTATATCCTTATATATATATATATATATCTGACATTTTCCAATGCCTGCTGTGATCATTGCTATATAATTTTCTAGTAAAATGGCCAGTTTTGTTAAAATGTAGAAGGCGTCTTACAAAAATAGGCTCATACTTGGAAATTATAATTAGAAGTCAATCAAGAAGTCTTCAAAACTATTTTATTTAATTTCAAATTTCTTGGATCACTAGTTATTTTATGATGGCTCAAGCCAAAAACCCTTCCTATAAAGTCAGTATGTTCAAAAAATTCTTAGTACTACAATTTGCGTATTGTATTAACGACACTAACAATTTTCGGTTTCGATTACATTTACAATTGTCAGCTAAATTATCATATTGTCAGTTGCATTCTTAATCATTGATAAATCTTAAATAAAGCCCAGTTCATGTTATAGCTGGCTTTGTATTAACAACAAGTTAACATCAAACAGAGCTCCCCAAAAAACAACGAACAATCCAAACAATCTGGGCAATCGGAACAATCAATGAACCAAAGTAAATTGCTGTCGTTAATGTCCGACATTTCCTGTTTACGTCCAAAATATGGGTTGGTACAAGTACATGTTAATTTGTGGCGCCACAACAATTTATTATTATGCCACAAATCAATAACGATATTTAAAGCAGGCAACCAATTCCAAACCAAAAACTAATTATATATAATAATATAATTTCTCCCCCAAAGTTTTATTTATTAGAGTCAAAGTCAACCGGATCTAAAAGATGCAAAATGTATTACTTTCTTAAATAAGATAATAATTTATTTGAAAATGTATTAATTACTTAAATGATAATAATTTATAATTTATCAAATAATTTTATATTTTATATTTTATATTTTATATTTTATACCTACTAGTTCTTTAACAGAATAATATTACCTTTAAATCACGTTTATTTTTTGGGACAGTTTGATCATGAATTTTTTCTAATAGACCGCCATCTGTAATCGGATTATACGATAGTAATTTACACTATCTGATTCAAATTAACTTTTAGTTGGCATTTAATAAGGATTAAAAAAATTGTTCAACTTAAAATCTTAAAAATATATATAAGAGCACTGGGAGCCCAACATAACAAAAATTATTTCCATTTTTGTCGAGATAGAATTTCGATTTTTTTAAATATATTTTTCTTTGAGAATAGTTTTCTGACTAATTGTGTATCAATTTATTTAAGCTATTATATTTTGGAGTTAACAACTGCCAGTGTGACCGTGTTTGTAGCTGAACTTCGATTTGCCATAAAATCACTGAACACTCAACATAAAATTTTGTAGCGCTCTTTTTCGAAGGCATCAGATTGGTTTCGAATGGCTGCCGTGTGCGCTGTTCATTAGCGTTTTGTCCCCAAATAACAACAATAGCTAGTAACACAATCTAACTAAAGCTAACAAATTTTATTTGGCGGGTTTTATTTTTTTGGCAGCGTTGCGTGCGATTAAAAGCGCTGAGTTGGGGAATTAAGGACTGGAAGCGTTAGCTAGAGGAGTGTGTATATGCTGAACACAGTGCTTATATATATATATTTATATATATATAAATATATATAAGCCTGTGATGTGGGCCTTTAATTATATTTAGCGATTGGGTGCCAAAGGTTAAAGTTTAATGAACATCTAGCGTGTTCGATTTGGCAAGTGAAAGGTATATATTTAAAATATTTGTATGCATATACATTTTATAAATTGACTGCAAAGTAAGAATATATTTTTGCCAGGTAGTCTCCAGTCGATGCATGTATATATGTTCAACTATTCAGAAACTCTATTTAGTTTATACTTGTTTATCAAAGCCCCCGCTACAGTGCCCCACTCGCGCTACTGCGTAAATGCGTGCTAGTTAGTTATGGGGCAGAGAATTGCTGGCGCCGGGCGTCATTCGTCAATCAGCGTCGCAAATTGTTGATTACACCTACTACAACAACAACGTCAACAACATCAAGTCAAGGGCAGTTACAGTAACAGTTTATATGTAGCATTCAGTCCGGGAACAACACACAGTTCCTCACAGTTCCGATCGATAGAGTCCATGTGACTGCGATTTTGCACACGAAAAGCAAACGAAACCAGAAGCGAGAAACCAAAACTGTAACGAAAGCAAGTAATGCGTTTCGACTCAATGATACCCTGTACAGGCAGCGACTATGCTATTTCTCTACATCATGCACTATAGAAAATGTATTCCCAATTCAATTTTGCTTATTGTTCGATCATTATTCAATTTGCATGTATAAGAAACGACTGTTGAATACATTAAAATCAGTAGGGCTTTACCTTTTAGAGCAGTGTTTTTAAAAAAAAAAGTAAAATCTTTTCTTCCATAATTATTCTCTTTTCCAAACACAATTTTAGTGGGTACAGGGTATAAACAAAACCTTTAAAAAAATGAAAGATATGTGGAGCGTGCCACCTGAGGCTTTCACATATACCAAATGCTATATATGCCATATATACACAAGCAACACCTATATATCTGTTAGTGATGTATATAGGACACTCTCTGTACATACGAGTGTGTGTGTGTCAGTTTATTTGTTTTATTACTAACACGCAGCATATTTAGTAGCTGGCTTAGAAGCAGCGCCTTGTTTATCGTATAGTCTATGGCTCTAAGGTTTGTAACGCCCTCGAGTCGCGACTCATTAGTGTGTCTTAATGTGTGTGTCTGTGTTTGTGCAGGTTAAAATGGCATTGACTTCTGTTTGTCTGATTTAGCATCGAGTTTACTTTAAAATCCAAATAAATAAACCATATATCGTATATCACGCATACTACGGTTTTGCCTACAGTGGTTGAAATTGATTAAAACTGAAACAATTTGCGAAATATAATATTATTTTATTATATTTGTCTTTATTTCATTTATTCAATTAAATACTTTAATTAGTTTAATTTATTAGCGTCTTAGTTTTCTTAAAATTCGAAGCTCGAAATTTGAAGGCCATGCAACATTTACAATTTATTCAATACAACTGGTATTTATAATTAAATAATTATTTATAGACCAATTATATACAAATTTAAAAAGATTATGATTTATCGTATCTTAAAAAACTTAGATGATTCATGACGTATTCAAAATACTGATTCATTATAATTTATTAATAAATAATTTTGAAAATACCTTTAATTTTTATTTAAGTTAAAATTTTTGGTATATTTTACATAACATTTTATTTAAAATTTTTTATTTGTATATTTTATATTCCATTTACTCTAACTCAAAAAGTTTTGATTTATTGAATTAAGTAATTTAATGAAAAAACTCTTATTAATAAATTAAAGCTAGGTTTCTTAAATCATTATGCCAAAACTGGTCCACTGGCTCTAAAAATGGGGGTGCTCGCTGTTATTTAATTCATTTTGTTGCATGACTGTTTTGGTGAATGATATTTGCCATATATAATATTTCTGCTGGGGCATGAGCATTCATTTTTATAAACAATACTTAAGCATATGGAATTCTGAATGCTTTATAATATTTCGATTTTATTTATATTTTTTGTGTGTGTTGACAACTTTCACTCTTTCTACCTAACCAAACTATCCTCCAATTAACTTGGTGTGTTTTTTCATATTCTGTTTACATAACTGTTTCCTAACTGCTTACTGTTTATTCCTACGTGACTCTGTGTGTTAAAAAAAAATAAACAAAATACTGTGAAAAATAGTCTGAAACCGAAGTCTTTGTAATTGGCTGTTCAGTATTTTCTATTATTATTATTTTATATTGTTGTTGTTATTGATGGCGAACTCGTAACCCAATACCGCAAACAACTTTATGAAATTGAATATTGAATTGAGAAATTGAATTGGAATCTTTTATCGAAATTACAAAATTTGATTGCTTTTGCATTAGTCGTTAAACTTGTAAGATGAGTTGTACTCTTTTTATTTTATTTGTTATCCTGTATGCTTTTGAATAAATATTTATTTAATAATATAAAAAAAAGTGAAAGAAATATAAAATTCACTGCGCGCTGCTCTCTCACAGTTGAACTAACCACAGTAACTGTATATATTTTCTATGCATTTGTCCACCACCAACACCACAACTAACCACCAAAACACCAACAACAACACCACACCACGCTTCTTGTGTGGGTGTGTGTACGTTTGTGTGTATGCGTGTGCTCGTGTATCTGCGCTCGCCCGCGCGTGTTGTATACGTCGTCATCGCTGTAATCGATATCGATATCGCCTTTGATGTTTCGTGCTCTTTGTCCACATATCGATCATCCGATCACATCCGATCACCACTGATCACACCCGATCGGTTACACAGTGCGCTCAGGGACGGGCCGCCTGGCTGGAGCGGGGCCGCCGCTGCAGCGTACAGGAGCAGCAACAACAACAGACCACCTGCCACAGACGCTGGGTGAAGCGCAATCGAGTAAGTTCATCAAGTAGCGCTCACTCACATAGCGCTGTGTACATACACATCTCTCAATATATATATAAATATATATATTTATACATATTATCTCTAAAAATCTATTCTGCAATAACAACAATCAGCAATCTGTGCAATTAATTCCTCCTTCCTTTTCTTCTCTCACACGCACACACCCACAACTTTTCCCCTTCAAGTGCATAATTTATATATTTTCTTCACGATCACGCCTCGCTCAGTTCAGTGCCTTCAAAGCTAGGATATATAGGCGCAGAATATAAATTACTTATATGAGACCAGACCCCATTTTCCTTATCAAGCCCCAAATGCTAAAAACATTTTCATTTTATCTGCGATTTTCATGTCCATTATTAAGCATTTCATATAGACATTTATAACATGACCGAGTACTTTTCCTAAGAAATATCCAACTATAATTGAGAATCATTGTTAATACCAAATAAAAAAAATGTTTAACTGTTATATGGCAAATCCAGGAACACGCACATAATAATTGTATGTCTTCTAAAAATAATAAGCTTAATACTCTTACAGGTCTGTAATTTTAATTAACATTTCCATAATGCTCATAATGCTTTGCTCGTATCTAAGAAGCACAGGGAAATAGTAAATAATAGTAGTATAGTAAAAGTTTTTCATACAAGAACATTCATTTTCTACCGATCGTTGCTATCGCAGCTATATGATGTAGTGATCCGATCCACCCGGTTCCAAAATTATAATACCCTCTGCAAAGGTATAAAAAAGTTTTCAGAATGATTTGATTTTTTATATGTATTTGATAAATATCGACTTTTAATTAAATGGTTCCAATATTTTTTAAACGTATATTTAATATCATTCCCAGATTGAACATCAAAATTGCCTCTTCCTGGAAATGTTCATATATACAAATTAAATGTTTTTTTCTTAAATTAATTTAACATCATTTTACTAATATATCATAAGATAAATATCTCAATTATTCTGATTTGGGACCATACACTTATCACATCTTAACTATAGGCCACTAATAAAATTTATTCACTTCCATTGCCAGATACAAGATGCCTCATTGGGCGGTTCCTCGGACGATGAAGATTTTCTGGGTGTACTACGTGGACCCAGCACCTTTGCGAATGCCTTTCTCTATGTGGGCCTGGGCACTGTCGCACTGGGCCTGGTCATTGCATTTGTAGGCACCGGCGAGAAAGGATTTAAAACAGTGGAGCTAAGACTTATAGGGCCCTCTCTCATAGGCAATATAATTGTTGAATCGATTCAATTATTATAATCTCACTCATATGAGTTTCTCTTATTTAGGTTTGGGTCTGATTTGTTGCATTTTACGCATTCTCTTCTGCATTTGCCCATCACACTGCATCTCATCCAGCAAGAAGGCGGGCAAGAAAAATGCTAACAAAATCGATGCGGATCACACGACTTCCCTGCTACGCAATGAAAGCAAGCGGGTTTCTATAGCTCGTGGACCCTCTATACAAGTGCGTACGAATTTTTCTCATTTTGTTATGTCCATAGATCATTTAAATATTTACATATTTCGATAATAATTTTAAGCTTAATTACAAAAAAATACTTTTCTTACTAAACAAATTGGAAAATACTGAGGTGATAGAATTTATATTCAATCTTTTAGTATTTTTAGTCAATTGTTTATTATTTTTTTAATTATTTACTTGTTTTCTTAAATATTTTATTAAAGCATTGAAACAGTTGAGTAGGGACTCAAAATATATATATATATATATATATATATATATATATATATATATTATATTATATATTATTTCGTAGTACTATTAAAAGAACAAATCTTTTAAAGGATATATGCTTTCAGTTGTTTTATTAAATATATATTTTTGGTAATATTTTGTTGTATTTACATAGTGTTTCATTTAAAAAATAAAACCTATTCATAATATATTTACACGGCATTCCTAGCCATTCTAAGGCGTTTGCCCAAACTTGTTTGCTAAATTATTTAATTATTTTTATTTTACCTATTCTTTTTCCAAATAGCCAAAGTATCCTATTGCCCACAAGCGTAGCCAGAGCAAGATGCTCAATGAGGGAATGGAGGCACTGCGTCAAATAGCCACCACATCCCTCTTCATGCAGAACGAGCAGAAGACGGCCATAAATCGTGTTGTGCCCATTATCAACGAACCGGAGAGCATGGATCACATGGGTGGTAAGTAAATAAATCAAACGTACTCAAATAAAACCTAAATCTTGTAAATCTTCACAGCGGATGCGCCGCTGGAGATGAAGAAGCTGCAGACGGCGCTGAATATGTGCGAGATGAGCGATGAGGAGCAGGATGACAGCGTCCAAGTTGAGCAGCAGCAGCTGCAGCACGTCAAACGTACAAGAGCAACAACAACAACTGCCGTTACGAGTTGTACCACCAAAGCCACGGGGAAATCCACAAGCAAAACCACAACAACGAAAACAACAACAACAACCTTGAGCATCGTCGATGAGCGACCCAACAGCAAATTGGTACGTCAACGGGTCGCACTGCAGCAGCAGCGACAACAGCATCAACAGCAGCAGCAACAACAGCAACCGGAACAACAACAACAACAACAACCACAACCACAATTGGAGCAATCGCAGTCATTGTCCTCCTCCTCCACCGTCAAAGACTCGCTGGATGGCGCAGTGATTGTGGAGGAGACCTCACTTATGGACACAGCTGCAGTCCCGCCAACGACGACGGCCATGGCCATGGCCACCCCACTGCCGAGCAGCTGCAGCACCGGCGCCATTCCCCGGCTCAAAAGCAATAATGCAGCATTTAGCACGCCCTCGCCGCGACCGGGCATCTCAACGGGCGCCACGCCTAAGACAACGCCCAACACCAGCAGCAGCAGCTATCGTACACGTCTCACTAGCTCTCAGTCGCAACCCACAAGCTACGATTTGCCGCCGGCGCTGCCGCACACCTATTCCGCGACAGCAACGGTGCGTGGTCCGCTGGGCATGACGTTGACCGGTTCCAGTCCCGTGTATGCCATGCCTGCCGGCCGCATGAGCGCGGTTGTCGTTCCGCCCACCACAACGACGATCAGTTTGCTGCCGCTGCCGGCGCCGCCGACGGCCACCACAACGTCGACTGCAAGGGCGAGCATACCTGGACAGGTGCTGGAGCCGTCGGCAATGTCCACCACAAGTCTGAGCATATTGCAGCCGTTGCCGGCGACGCAGCCTGCGACAGCCTCCTCAATAACGGCCACATCGGCGGCGGCGACCTCCATATTTGGCAGCAAAGAGCAAAAATCACAGCTGTCATCCGCCAGCCTAACGAAGGGCCGTGGTAGCACGCTGCTGGCACCGTTACCACATTCTAGCAAACTGGAGCCGGAACTGGTGCTCAGTCCAGCAAAACTTGGCCAGTAAATGCGACAAAGTGGTAACAATTTTAGTTAGGATTTCATGCAGATACTACCTATAAATAAATAAAAATATATGAGTGTATATGTCTCTGTTCCATTGAGTATGTGTGTGCATGTGTGTGTGTGTGTGTGTGTCAGTCTCTCTTGAATGTGCCACAAATATGATGAAACTAAACAACAAAATGAAGACAACGTTTCCGTAAAACGCCTGCCAGTCATGTGATGGATTCCCTAAGCGCAAAATATATATTTGGAATTTTCCCATATTTAAAATATATTTTCATGAAATAACTTTAGCTGTTCATATTTTCGTTTTCAGTTTTAGAACTACCCGTTAGTATCAAGTTTAGGTTTACAGAAAAATTCCTAACAATTTTTGTTTTGGCGAATTCGACGCGTGGCTGACAAACTATACAGCTTTCAGTGTCTAATTTCTAGAGCTTGCTCCGCTGATTATGAATGGACATATACTTTGGCAATTTTCAAGCCCACTCCTTTCTATACAAAAAACTCTTGAAATTGCGCGTTTTCTGTGGCAACAATATTTGGCCAAATGCTCAGCAAATAGAAAATTGGCAAGTCGCGCTCTCTGAAGCTATACCTTAATTAGTCAGGGTATTATAAAGTTTGTATACCAACATATCGTTAAATAAATATACAACAAATAATAGAATATTTATAAAAAAAATAACTAAACATTGAAAAAGATAGCGAACAGAGAAAGCCGTCGTCCATTTGATCAACAAATATAGCTAAGGTTCAATCAAGATTTATGCATGGGCCGTACGAAAAGTAAGCAACCCACATTATATATAATTAATTAGATATGTAACCCAAGATTGAATGTCGATGTAGTTGAATGACATATAATGACCCAGTAGCAACTGAAACCAAAATCACATCGATTGCAACACGAGAGCCTTAAAAATATGTTAAATGAGCTCTTAAGGGGTATAATCGTATAAGAAGAATAATGTTTCAACTATGTTAAAAGATTTCTGACGTGATGTATTTTGATGTATTATTTTTATTTTCTTTAATTTTATAAAAGTTATGTTTACTTCTTAATACACCTGTTTAAAAAGTATTGCAACATTCGAGAATCTTCACAAAAGTTACTCATTCAACCAAAGCAGAAAAATGGAACAAATTCTTAAAAAAAAAAGTATTAATTAATATCAAAATGGGAAAGCAAAGCAACAGCTATGAAACGGGCAAATAATAGGAATCATGTTAAGCCCAGAGAGAAAAAATCCAAATGCAACTAATTGAGAATTATAATAAAAACGATATATGAATTAGTATGTATGTAAGTATATGTATGTGCAAAATAAAAAACCAAAGGCATAACGAAAGGTTGAGTTGCGTTTTTAATTGTTTTATTAAAAACAAGTAAGAGGTTCTTTTCGGGAGTTCGCGATTAGGGGAGACCCTAAACCCTCATATGCCAACACCAAATGCAGTTCGGGCTCGTTTGAAGTAATAAAATAAATGTAATATAAAAAGTTCCCTTGGTAAGGTTCGAACTCGCAACTGACCGTATTACACAAGCCAAACAAAAAATAATACATTCCCCGGTAGGACTCGAAATCGCCACAGACCGCACCACTTACTATGCCTCTACCCAACAGCCACACCAATAATCATGTATTATTGAGAAGAAAAAAAACAAATTAAAATAGCAGCACAGTCGCAATTGCAATGCTTTTGATACAATCGAAGCAGACGCGCATGAATGTGTGTGTGTACATGTATACATTCTTGAAATTTGTCTCTTACTAGTTATTTTTTCGTGTTCTTTTTTAATTTTATGTGTGGGCGTCACCTCATGCTCCCTTCTTTTTTCTTAGAGTGCCCAACTACTATTTACAAAAAATACATATATATGTCTTATACTACTATTGATTTACAGCACTAGATATAGTGGATGTTGACTTTTAAAAGCTTACATTAATTTTCACTGTTTACATTCAGCCAATCCTGACACTTAACCAACCCCGATTATTACATTATTCACAAGCAAAGGCCTACGGTTTTATCACACACTTGCATCCACAACTTATGCCTAGCTGATTTATGAACTCCTTTATATGGCAACTGGGTGACCTGCAATCATCATCTGTGACCTAATAGCGGTCATAGAAAAACACTCGGTTGATTTTGTAAGACCATCGGTATTTGGGCGAAAACTTTTTGTAGGGTTCTGCTGTGACGTCAGCGTTACGTATTGAAACAAAATGTCTTAAATTACATTGGGTTTCATTATGTTCGTTTTTCGTTTTCGTATATTTGCACATACTTGGTGTCTAATTATATTCAAATTACAGGTTAATAATAACTTGAAGACATTGTGTGAGCTCGTTTACCAAAAGCCCAAGCTAAGCACAGCGGTACCATAACTACACTGTACCGAATTATTAATGGCGAACTCAACTCGGCTTATCAACTTACACCATTATTGAAAGTATTTCTTAAATGGGACACTTCTCTAGTTCAAGTAGAGTTAACTGGGTATAATTTAACATTACTAATAAATGCTTCAGTTTTTAAATAATGCTGGGCAATAAGCCCCACATACGAGCTAACGGTAATCAAAAAGTATAAATCTTCTAAATCTAATGACCATCGGGCGATACCGGGGCTTTAGGGTGTTTTCTCAAAGTTTGAACTAGAGAGCTGGCAACAATTAGGAAAGCCCGATGCCCTGCGTACACACGGAATCGACGTAGTGCATAGAATATGGCTAGGGTCTCCACTTTAAAACTATGGTATCGAGACTCGGCACTCGTTGCTTTTCGAGGTAGAAAAAAACAGGTTGTAATTTATTATCAGACTGTCGCTGCATCAATACCGCGTCGAAACCATGTGAACTGGCGGTATGCAATTTTAAGTGGACGTAATATACATTTACAATAGGGGAAAGCTTATTTAAAGAAATTTTAAGCTTATATAGTGAGACACCCGGCTCTAGTTTTTTTTTTGGGTGGCACACGTGTTTAATAGTAAAAGCTCTGTCTAGCAGTTGTACAGCAAGCTGCAGAATTCCAGTCGGTAATGGAGTCGTGAGTACCAGCGCCGAACAGATGTCTACACGCTAAGATGGTGAGATGGTCAGTGAGACACATAGGCTAATCTATATGTCCCCATTGCAAGCGGGTACCTGCCATTATAACCTAAGAGGCAAACACTGGATGACCACAATAGCTCATTCGACAATTCAGCAGGAAACCAAATAACAGCAACCCGGCCACAATACATACATATATGACGGATCCAGCCAAATACCGGGGAGTACCGGCATTAACAGAGTTTCTTCTCTGGTCGCTTCTGCACGCACGCGCGATTAAAGAGACATTAAGCCACCCACTTTATGAACGGCAGCTAGACCAGTGCAATCTGTTGTGTATAGCTGGACCTATCATCACTCTCGCACTGAACGTCTAGTTCCATCCAAATGAGAGGACCTTCCCAGGCCACACATTCTTACACATTTTTGAAGATGTCACATTTTTGTAAAATGTGTAAACTGCGGCCTGTACGTTTTCTTACAAGAAACCTCATATAACACATTTATCAAAACATTTTTGCAAAATGTGTAAATTCGCCCCGAACTTTTCGTGTTTTTTGCTATGAGTAATCGAGATTTCTATCGATGTTGTGAAAAATGTGGAGGCATCATTAAATAGTACCATAAACTTTTAATATATCAACGAAGGTAACTCAAGAGGTAACTTTAAATCATAATTTTAAATTTTAATAATCCCACAGTTCTTAACATTCAAAGATGGCCAAATCCCACAAAGAGTCCATTAAATGAAGCCCTTACTTCGATATCGCATTATTTGAGTTTTGGAAGGAAAAGTTTGCGGCGCATATGTTAATTAAAGCAGCTCGATCAGCTGTTTATTTAAAGAAGCGGTACTTTTGCCACTCACATGTTATCGACAACCGGTGGAACACCAATATGTGAAACTTGAAAATGTGACATTTCTTAAGCTTAATGGACAAAGGGTATAGGACCCGAAAATAATAAGAATTTAAGCTAGACGAACGGACAGATGAATGGACACCAATTGTTTAATTTTATAATACCTAGCAACTTAATAATGAAGATCATAAGTTTCAAGATTTTATTAATTGAACGTGGAGATATCGAATTGAAAATGAACCGACAAAAGTTTACCTTTATGGTCTGTAAAGTAGTTTTGATAGATTGAGAAAAAATGCTTTATAGAATATTTGCATATTCTCAAAAAGTCAATTGCATTTAAATTGTGGCTTAAATTGGTGGGCAATATAAATTGGTTTACTGATTTACTTGATTTATAGCTATGTGGTAGTAGCGGGGAGGTGGTGATAGCTAAAATATACTTAATATATATATACTATTCTAGAAGCTACATATCATGTTGGGTGACTTTAGCTCTTATTATTTACCCAATTTGCTAAAAAGAAACAAGTAAAAGGTTCTAATCGGGTGCTCCTGACTAGGGAATACCCTCAACCCTCTTATTTCCAACACCAAATGCAGTTCGCGCAACGCGCTCGTTTGAAGTAATAAAGATAAATAAAAAAAAGTCCCCTTGGCACGGTTCGAACCCGCAACTGACTGTATTACTTGCTGACGACTCTACTCAACAGACAGACCAGCAAAAAAAATAAAAATTTGTTTCCCAGGTCGGGCTCGAGCTCGCGACAGACCGCAACACTTGCTCTGCCTCTACTCAACAGCCACACCAATAATTGAGTATTATTGAGAAAAAAACGAACTAAAATAGCATTGCAGAACAAAGTCGCAATTACAATGCTGTTAGAAAACGATAGAATACGAAGCAGACGCGCATGAATGTGTGTGTGTACACACAAATTCTTGATGTTTTCGCTAGCTGTGCCATCCAATTGCGCAGTTACATATAACTTTGGTTTTCTCTTAACCGATCTTAATGAAATTTTCTACAGTATATCTTATTGTACCATAGAATATTTGTGTATTCTCAAAAAGTCAATTGCATTAAAATTGTGGCTTAGATTGGTTGGCAATATAAATTGGGTTATTAACTTGATTTATAGCTCTGGGGTGTTAGCGGGGAGGTGGCTGCTAGGTAGCTCTTAATATTTACCAAAATTGCTAAAAAACAGAATGTCCTTATCGAAATTTATCGATTGCTTGGAAACGGAGTAAGTTATCGATTATCGGAAACAAACTCGATCTGCGCAGGCACTATGAGGACCTACATCTCTAGCTCTTATAGGTTCTGAGATGCTTGCGTTCATACATACGGAAGGACGGACAGACAGACGGACATGGCTAGATCGACTCGGGTATTGATGCTGATCAAGAATATATATACTTTATTGGGTCGGAGATGCTTCCTTCTGCCTGTTACATACATTTGGATTTTTCACAAATACATACCCTTTTTAACCATTTTTAATTGGTTCAGGGTATAAAAATAGGATTTCCATGGATTTTTATCGATTACTTGGAAACGGGGCAAGTTAGATTGACTCTTTTTATGATGGTGATCTAGAATATATACACTTTCTGGGGTCGGAGATAATTCCTTCTGCCTGTTACATATATTTGCACAAATAAATTTTATATTATTGCTAGAGTCACCCTTTTTACCCATTTTCAATGGGCTTAAGGTACAATTATTTCGAAAGAAAATTTTCTATATAAAGAAACAAATTATGTTTAATTATTTATTTGACAACTTTCTTATGAAACTAACTTCATCTTATATAACAGTAGATAAAATTAATATTAGTTTTAAAACTTAATTTGTCCTTTTAACATAACAACTCCAGATGGATTTACCTTAACCTTGATTTTAGTTCTCGGAAACAATATTCCATAATCAATGTTCTCGTAAAGGTCCTGAAATTAAAAAACGTGATTATCAGTCATATCCGAGTGAATATCATAATTAGGTACTATTCGCGAGGCAACATATCAAATTGATCAAGTGGCCGTCTGCGGTAGATAAATACTGTGGTCACCAGACATTATAGTAACTACGATATTTATCAATTTCATTTTTACTTTATGAGCATGCATTTGCACAAAATTAGCCAAAAATTAGCCCTTTTTATCCAAACAAAGTTTGGCTATCTTCAACAAACCACAGATTTAATAACTTTCTTGACGTTTGACATGCAGACTTGCAGATATATAATAATAGAAATATCTTGGAAAACAGAATATTCTACCATAAAAATAAAACTTAATTTTAACAGGTTCTTCCTATGGGACTATAAAATTAAATAGTGCGATCCTGATAAGATTTGGCTCATGTAAAATTTTAGTATACAGCGGGATTGGTTAAAGTATTTTAATAAGCAAAAAGGGTTCTCATGCATCTTTTTTCATCGACCGCTCGTTCCTTTGGCAGCCAGATGTTATGGTGGTCCAATGTTGATAAAATCACATTAAGTTAAAAAAAAAGTGTTTATCCAGTGTCTTCTTATTTCCTAAATTTTTATACCCTGAACCCATTAAAAATGGGTATAAGGGTATATTGTATTTGTGCGAAAGCCAAATGTATGTAACAGGCAGAAGGAAGCATCTCCGACCCCATAAAGTATATATATTCTTGATCAGCATCAATACCCGAGTCGATCTAGCCATGTCCGTCGGTCTGGCCGTCCGTCCGTCCGTATGTATGAGCTAGAGACTTGAAATTTTAGATGTAGGTGCTCCTAGTGCCTGCGCAGATCGAGTTTGTTTCCGAAAATCGATAACTTACTCCGTTTCCAAGCAATCGATAGAAATCGATATCGATCTCCTGTTTTTTGGGCAATTTTGGTAAATAATAAGAGCTAGAGTCACCAAACTTGTCATATAGCTTCTAAAATATATATATCCATTTGATGTTGGAAGAAGAGGGTTCATGGTATCCCCTAGTCGGGAGCTCCCGACTAGAACCTCTTACTTGTTAATAATATTCATGTCGGGGCTTTGTAATTGCCAATCCAGCGTATAAACCCCAACTCCATTTAAAAAGTCTGTAATTCATTTTGCCTTATGTTAGGCGTTTGGTCTTATTTCTCATTGTAATTTGATGAATAATTCTGGCTATGTATGTGCCGTAATCAGCTTCTTTCAAACGTCTCTGATAATATTAATGTTTGTGTACTTAGAAAGCGCCATAGCAACAGTTTTAGGAGTTTCTAACGGATATTTCTCAAATTTCCGCTGAATAAAACAATTATTCTGCTCTGCTGTCTTACGCGGTCTGCCACAACGTGTCATGTTTTTTGTTGTGTTGCTTTTTTTATATTTTTAAATTTGATAATATACTGTTTGGAAGGGTACATTGTATAATTAAATGATTTTTTTTTATCTATTCTATCTATTCTATCTATTAGTGTTTAATAGTAGTAGTAGTTCAACACAGACTTAAAAGAGCAAATGTCAAATGTCCACCTGCTATCAGCTTGCAAAAGAGAAGAATGAGTAAATTAAGAAAACGCATACAGGAATTAACAATTTTTGTTGCATTTTTCTATAAACAGCATGTCATGTGCGATTGTATTGTTTTCTGAGCCGTGTGTGTGTGCTGCTCTTTTAACACGTTTTTTATTTCATGATAATGAATTGCTGATATAGCTGGCAGGTAGAGTCAGTTGCAAGAGGTGTTAGAATCCCATAAATTGTATATTATTTAAATTGTATATTTTTAAATTGTATATTAATAAATACATAAAAAATAAATAGAAGAACTCCAACTCTTCCAGCTTCCAGCTGGAATCAACGGTCTTCATCAGGCTAATTTTGTGATCTGAATCTTGAAGCAAAAAATAAAAGAGCTCATAAAACCGTTGACCCGCATATTCAGTCAAACAGCGGTGGATTAAGAGAAAAACTTATGAAATAAGTAAAACTTCGCCATTATAACCTTTCGCCCGAATTTATCCTCCAAGAGGGTCAAAATTAGCGAAAAGGAAGAATTGTCGGATATAAATTTTCAGATTCTCAAAAATATCTTGAGCCGATAGGATTTTCACACAAATGTTTTTTGTGATCTTTTCACTTTTGCGGTTAAAAATTTTCGAAAGCCCCTTTTGCATGCACCTTCATCAAATAAGGAAGCTACAGTGATAATTTCACTTTACAAGCTCGTATGGTTCGGGCTGTGCGTTAATCACCAATTAGTCAATCAGACAGGATAGTCTTATATATAGAGATTCCATTGATAAACAAGTAAGAGGTTCTAGTCGGGAGCTCCCGACTAGGGGATACCCTGAACCCTCTTCTTCCCATATGTCAAGTTTGGTGACTCTAGCTCTTATTATTTACCAAAATTGCCCAAAAAACAGGAGATCGATATCGATTTCTATCGATTGCTTGGAAACGGAGTAAGTTATCGATTTTCGGAAACAAACTCGATCTGCGCAGGCACTAGGAGCACCTACATCTAAAATTTCAAGTCTCTAGCTCATACATACGGACGGACGGACGGCCAGACAGACGAACATGGCTAGATCGACTCAGCTATTTATGCTGATCAAGAATATATATACTTTATGGGGTCGGAGATGATTCCTTCTGCCTGTTACATACAATTGGATTTTGCACAAATACAATATACCCTTATACCCATTTTTAATGGGTTCAGGGTATAAAATGACGTTGTAAGTTATCGCCAATGGAAATTCCAAAATTGCTGAAACACGTATTTAACAAATTCTTTTGTAGGGCATTGAATATCAGTTTAAGGACCTTTTCCGAAGCCTTATGCGACAGCTTATCGAGTTTTGTATCTGTTCACGACTTAGCTTTTATTTATCAACGATAGATATTTTATCAAGTCTAGTAAAAATATTTTATCAAGTCGATAAGACTGCCACATTCACCCCCCCTCCAATGCTGCAACTTAGTAACAAAATGTACGAATTTTTTGGGTAGACGCACTTCACGTCCGCTATGAGTGGTTATAATGGGATGTTAATTTTTGCAGTTAGTTGCAGGTGAAGATGATCATCTTCTGCTTCTAAGTAAGCTTCCTGAACACGGTCGACAGTTACAGTTACCGATAATGATTATAAATTGCTTATCGATGTGACTGATAACTATAAATGGTCCCTAGTAAGGTACTTTGATCCGCGCTTTCATATGTCATCACGTAGGAAAATGTGTGTACATGCTTTGAGATCATTTTCAACTAATACTTTGGTAGCAACGAGGTGTGGTGTATTGACAGGCTTCAGCTGGGACATGGTTGAACGTAGGCGCTTGATGCATAAAATTTCGATGTACTCTTCGGCAGGTTTCACCGGGCATTGTCCATTTCAGCTAGATAGGCGTTGAGATCCAGTTGAATTCAGTGTGATATTTGATGGCGGTCTAAGCTCCTTAAAAAATGTCGACTCAAACTGTCTGCCTTGATCAGTAGCTATGATGCTACCATGAATTAATGCTTTAGCTACCGTCTCTGCCGCCATATGTGCTATGGGACTGCCACCGCCCAGCGGGAGAATCGGTCAAATCACGTCAGACAGTACCTGTAATTGATAGACAATTGATGCCAAAAGGCCAATTAGATAAATATTGATATTTCGAATCGCTTTTCAGGCAGGTCAATCATTGAAACGCTGCTTTGTTGTGTCTGTCGACTTTGGAAATGCCAACTAAGCAATGTTTCTTTTCTTTAATCTCCAGACGAAACGTTCAGCTTTGAGTTTTACTGTAGCGCTCTTCCGTGGGTACAATAAGTTATGAATGGAATTGAAGGTTTGCTTAAGGTAGCTATGTGTGATATATGGACGGATTCTAGACGTAATACTAGACGTACATAACAATTGTCAGCAACTCACGGTCATAAGTACTTTACATTTTCTGTGATCCGTTTGGACAAGAAACCAAACCGTTTGGGGGATCCGTTTCGCAACTTACTCAAGACTGCGCCAAAGCAGAAGAGACTCGCGTCACTTGCAGTCGCAATTTAGCGTTTGCGGAAGGATGTGCTTATGTTGTCACGCGTGCTAAATCGGTCTTGCACTGCTCTAACATCTGGTCTGCTTTGGCGTTCCACATTATTGGCGTCGTGTCGGGACATGATAGCCAAGGAAATCCACTTGTGGTTGCCCAAAGATTAATTTTAAGGCATTTAAGCGTAGTCTGCCGTAGTCTACCAAAAATATCCTTGACGTGCTGATAATGCTCATCTTAATTTTGTCTTGCGATGAAGATGTCATTTATGTATATATAGCCTAAATGTCATTACATTAAATTCGTATAGGAATGGAATGACGATCGCAAATTCGAGGCAATTGGTATCTGTTGATGTTTTCGTTCCAGATCAATTGTAGTGAACATTGCTGAGATTCAGTTTGTTAGAGATATCAAGGAAATGCGGCAATGGATATCTGTCTGGCTTTGTGATATGGCTCAGCCGTCTGTACTCGCTGCATGGCAGCTATTCGATTTTGTTCTTCTTGGCTGCCATGTGCAGTGGTCTTGCCTATTGGCTGCACAAATTCTCGTTTAGCTATAGCTAATTTTTCAAGATGGTGCACTGACGTCCTCACATCGTATGCTGCGTACTCGCAGGGCATGGTCAAGTCGCTATATTCGCGTGAAAGAAATTCGAAGTGGTGACTGCTTACTGGAGATAGAGTGAGCAATTGGTCGAATTCCACACTGCACGTTGTGCCCCATATGTACAGCTTTGTAGAACTGACAGTAAAGAGTTTTTTGCGTACGTCGAACAGTATTCGTGTAGAATATCAACTCCTATGATAAATTTTGTGCCACCAGCGATGACAAATTGCCAGTTCATTTTTCTGTGTAGGCCGAAGTGGACAGCAGCAATTTTTGTGCCACATGTTTTTAATGGGGTGCAGTTTGCTGCGTAAAGATAACTTGTGGGCTGAGCGCTGCGATCTGTGGGAGGTAAATTAGAAAACAACAGCGTCTGTGTCAATCAAGTATCTTATTTTTGCAGCTTGGGGCATTATGAATATTTAATGACTGGTAGCCACCACTTTGACCGCCGTCGCTGACAGAGTGGGTTTAGTTTTCCGGCTTGAATTTTTTAAAGTCACATGGCTCAGTTTACTAGCTTTGGGCCATATATAGAGAGACTTTAGCCAAGTCGCCATCAACAATCGCTAAGAGAGCTCGAACATTATCTGGAACACGTTCTAAGCAAAGTGCTTTTATGACCTAATCGGCAATTTGGGTGCCTGCTAAGTCTCTCAATTGTGACGGTTTGAGATCGCCCAATAGCACACCGTATATGAGCTTGTTGATCGAAATCAGTGTTCCTTGATGAGAGCTGCGTTGATTGCGTCATACATTTAAGCTGTGATGGATTGCGTGATGATGTTGGTGACGGAGTACTGTGGTTCCAGTGATGCGATCACATGGTGCTGTCAGTAGATACACATGATGCAAGCGAACTGTGACTTTACTTGTAAGAAGTGTAAATTCGGCTGTTCCTTGAACACAAAATCGGAAAAACATGTAAACATGCAAATGGAGAACGGATGTTTTAGTTGATCCTAAAGAAGCCCTCCCCAGCCTGAGATGGACATATAAGCACCTGCCATCTCCCAAATCCTGATGGGTATCCACCTTACATCCTTATCTATATATATATATTTATACATACATATATATACGTTTCATAAGGTAACACTTAATATTATTCACAATTTTTTAACATTTTTTTTTTGCAAGGCAAGGGCTTAAACAGCTTGACGATGCTAACACTGGCGATCGCCTATAATTAATAAGAAATAATATTTATAATTAGAAAGTAATAATTAATTTAATATAACATTATGTGAATTTAAAATTAATTATATGAATGCTATTTTTTTTTTGATATCTCTATAATTAATTAATAAACCTGAGGCCACCCAGAAGTGGCCAATCCGCTACTCTGGTGACCTGATCTCCGCTGTCTTCTGCGGCACCTCCCGTGTAATGGCACTTTGGGTTCGGCGACACAAATTTAGTTGAATATATAAATATATATACATATATACATATACAATAGGCAATCCAAAATACAGCATATTGTTTTATTGTGGTATTTATTTTAGAGCAGTATTGCAGCTCTTAACACCACACACCGGTTTTTATGCTTGCTCTTAAAACAGGAAATCGGCCCAGCTTCATCGCTGGGGCTATTGTCGTTGCAGTTGTTTGTTTCGTCAGCACCAACCTAGGCTGTTGTAGTCCCCTCCGTTCGTGAACTAATGCTGCATGAGCACCTACGTTGTGGTGCATAACCGGATACAATTGTCGCTAGTACAGACTGGTTTACTCCCTCGGACGCGTGCGCCTGTGGCGTATAGTTCCCGGTGCTCTGGTGAGGGATCCCATAATTGCTGACATACTCTCGGACTTGGATTGAGGTCTGGGGCCAGAAGTAGAAGCAATTGACTTTGGTCCCACCATGCATCGCCATCTTACCTTCATGCGCCTTTTGGATGAGCGTTGAGGTTAGCTCTTTAGGAACCCACAGTTTCGAGAGGAATTCGTAGCTGTCTTCTCTGTTGGACTAGGTTCTCTTAAATAACAGACGATCCTCGATCCGTAAGCCTGTAAACTTGTCCGTCTGCCCTTGACAAGCCTCAGCCTTTCCAAATACTCCTTGCTCGGTGGGCTCGAAATCGAATACATCAACTTCTTGTTCTTCCACTACGAACGGTCTAAGAGCCAATGACCACCGAGCGAGCATGGTTGGTAACAACTGCAAACGGCATCAGCTCTATATATGGGCAGAAGCGTTCGACAGCTTTGACGGTGGCCAGGCATTCTTTTTCGGTCACACTATAATTTAGTTGTTAAGCAAATGATCTATCACTTCCACTATCATCCCTCTGAAAAAGCACCGCTTCCATTCGCAATTGGTTTGGCTCGCACTGTTTATAATTGTGCTTGCTGAAATCGGGATGCGCCAGTGTGGGTGCACATGTGAGTGTCTTCTTGATGTTCTGGAAAGCCTTTATCGCTTTTGTGGTAATACTAGCTTCGTGTTCGATTTTATGCAGTCCGTCAGGCTCGCAGTCAGTCGTTGTTTCCTGGTGGTCTTCGGAAGAGCGATATGCAGTATTGGCTCCAGTTTTTTTGGGTGGGTGCGCAACGCGTCATCTCCAAAGATGTACCGCAAGTAACGCAGATATTTGAAGCAGAATTCAGATTTTCGGAGCCCAATAATCAAATTCGCTTTTTTCAGGCAGGGCTTACTTCCTTTGCCAGATGGCATCATTCTGAATTCATAGAGAGGCCTACCGGGTATGGTGAATACTGTGAATTCCCGACTTTTGAGGTCCAGCTCTATCTGCCAAAAGGCAAAAGGCAAAAGGCCTCAAATCTACGCTGCCTATGAATATGTTTTCGTCTACTCCGCTTAGTATGGACTCGATGTTCTGCAAAGGGTGTGCGTCTTTGATGGTCAGATAATTAAATTTGCGAACATTCAGTCACAGTCGATTGTTTATGGGCTTTCAATCGGTTGTCCCAAGGACTCTCGCTCGGAGAGCACTGCACTGCTGGAGATACTGGATAGAATCGCCTATGACTGGCCAGTGCCAGTTGCTAGTTGAATGGTATGTACTTCCATGATTGTATGTAATCCTCGAGATTCGTAATCCAGGAAACCTTTTTAAACATCTTTCAATCGATATCGTTGCTCCGCACACATTACATGGGCTACTATCGGTCCGCATTTGGTCGTGAACTCTGAATCAACATACCTGAGCTTCTCGACTACTGAAATTTCCGGCGTTAAAACAAAGTTTATCCAAAAGTCCTATCCAAGGTACAGTAACTATTTGAAAGATGGGCATAGGTACAGCGCTAATTGGTGAGTCCGGTCATTGTACGATATTGTGGCGCAGATACGGCCCAGAATGCATGCCCCAGGTGATTGAACTGTCTTGTAACCTTCTCCCAGTAAACTGATGGAATCCTGTATCCCAGTGATCTCTCACTGCTTGACCGTTGCGAATGCTCGATCGTCACCTTTGACAGCCGATTGAATCGCAGCGCATACCATTGTAAAGCGAAAGCGCATTCGTTTCGCCATAGGTGCGCTCTCTGCGGTCGCTTCGGGTAAGCTGTCGAAAATACGTACTAGAGCTTTTGCATATTCTGCTACTCTCACTTCAAATGGCTTCTGTTCTAACCATCTAACGGAATTATTGCGATTATTATTAATTTTTAGTAGATTTTATTTATCATTAAATTTTTTTCCACAACTATGTTTTAACTGTACTAACGCATTAGTGAAGATATTTAACTCCTGTGTAATTATAGCTGGGAGCGCAATTCCTCCGCTTGCGTCAGGTTCCTATGGCTGTTCGGACATTCTGGGGTATATTATTCTGGAAGCAGCATCCCTAATGTTCATTTTTGTACCCTTCCAGAGGGCTTAATAATTTTGTAAGGAAATGTGTAACGCATAGAAGAAGACATCTCCGACCCCATAATGTATATATTTCTTGATCAATATCAACAGCCGAGTCGATATAACTCTGTCTGTTTCAATGCGAACTAGTCTCTCAGTTTTAAAGCTATCGTCATGAAAAGATCGGTCGAAAGGTAGTTTTTTGTATGACACACTTTTTTGTTTACCAAGATATCTCAACCATACTAGGCATTTATTAGTTGTTCAATGCTCCTCATATTCTATTATCCTGTCGACATCGGACCACTATATCATATAGCTGGCATAGAAACAATCGGTCAAAAATTAGGTTTTTGTATGAAAAGCTATTTGTTTTTCAAGATATCTGCATATGTATTAAATCTTCGTGCCGTAGCAAGCCCTTCTTTTTATTATTTTTCAATTTGCATTTTTTTTTATACCCTGAACCCATTAAAAATGGGTATAAGGGTATATTGTATTTGTGCAAAATCCAAATGTATGTAACAGGCAGAAGGAAGCATCTCCGACCCCATAAAGTATATATATTCTTGATCAGCATCAATAGCCGAGTCGATCTAGCCATGTCCGTCTGTCTGTCCGTCCGTCCGTCCGTCCGTATGTATGAGTCAAAGGAACTCAGTACCTATAAGAGCTAGAGACTCGACATCCTGTTTTTTTTTTAGCAAATTGGGTAAATAATAAGAACTAGAGCCACCAAACATGATATGTTGCTTCTAGAATATTATAGATATTTCAAGTATCTTTAATTTCATACCTATCGCCACATCCCCCCTACCACCCCAGAGCAATAAATCAAGTTAATAACCCAACTTTTATTGCCAACCAATTTAAACCACAATTTAAATGCAATTTATATTTTCAGAATGCACAAATATACTATGGTACAATAAGATATACTGTAGAAAATTTCATAAAGATCAATTGAATGGGGCAGCAGCTTTAAGAATTTCATTCGGTCAGTTGCAAATTCGAGCCCTGCCAAGGGAACTTTTTTTATTAATTTATTTGGTGTTGGAATAAGAGGGTTCAGGGTATCCCCTAGTCGGGAGCTCCCGACTAGAACCTCTTACTTGTTTGTATTTCAATTTGCACAACATTGATAAGCATTTTTTACCGTGGATATGTTTTGCGCCCGTTATGGCCAGACTCTTAACGAGTATTTAAAATGTTGATTCATATAAGCTAAGGCAGTCGGTGTGACTTGCCATGTAATAGCGCAATAGCTACTTTAACATATCGAAATATATATATCATGTTTTAAGCTGACTCAGTTAACAAAAATTTGATAAATACTGGCTAGCCGCCTCTTTAACGTAACGCAACGCCGCAACGCAATGCTGTGATTGCGGATACATAATGTACTCAATTAATGAATTAATTTTTTACGACTTACCTCAACTCTATATCCAGAATTATTGATTAGACCTAGCTCCTTCAATGTAACGGAAATATCAGATGGTGTGCCGTCTGTCCTTCTATTTACAAAGGCAAGAGCATACGAGTAAAAGCTCTGATAAACTGGACTTATTGGTTTCGACCAAATTTCTATTCCCTTATGCTTATATATTCTTCGACCTTGTATGCCCAAGGGATCTTGATCTACAGAAATAATCTTTCTATTGAGCAATATCTCCTTAAATTCAGGTCGTATTGTCCTTAAATCAACTGACATTAAAAGTGGCGCAGCAAGAATAGCCCACACAGCAAATTGAGTCTTCGCCTGTTCATAGCTAAGGCCAAAGTTTCCAATTATTAGCTGAAACAAAGAAATATGAAATTGACGATTTATAATTGTTAATATCAATGATAAGCATTAGAACCAATCCAAAATATTTTGTAGAATTTACACAACATTTATAAAAAGACATATCTTTGCTTGTTAAAGATTTTATGAACATGTATAAATTATATACTTGTTGGCGTAGATCTGCGCATTGAATAATAAAATTCATTAAAAAATTAAAGTGTAGTGTAAGTTTATTGCGGAGCGACAGCGCAATAAAGCCTTAGCATAAAAATAATTTTCAAAGCTTTTTGAAAACATTTATTTTATACTTGCCACGGGCCAGGCCCCTGTAATTAAATTAATGCAGCTGCTAGAATTTCATTTTTAATTTAAATTAATAATTCTTAAATCGAATTTAGATTTTAATATAAGTTAAAAAACTAAAGAAAGTTTTGATGATTCAAAAAGGCAATTTGTCTATAAAAATCATAATGCGTTTAAGCAATCAGATAATAAGGAAGAAGAACTACAATTCAGGATTTCTGACCTAACAAAGATACAGTTTTAAATTTTCAGACTCGAGGAGAAACATTTCACCGAGATGATAATTATCGTACCAAGCTCGAAGAACTTTGTATAACGACAATAGCTCGTGATATTGATTGAACGGACGGTTCTTTGGTCTGATTCTGAAGTCACGCGTCATTGGGTTCGGTCACATCCTACATCTTTGGCAACATTTGTGTCAAATCGAGTGGCTAAAATCCGCAAGTGGACAAAAAACGCTGAATTGCGCCACGTACCTACAAAGCCAAACCCAGCAGATATCGTTTCGAGATACTGCGAGGTTCATTCTTGAAGGAATAAAGAGAATCTCTGAATTTGGGTCATAGCCTACATAGCGTCAATCCATTTATACATGAGTATAATGGATCTTGATGCTTTTTTTTCGTTGTTGCGAGTAGCGAGTAGCGCTTGTTTGTAGTAATACAGATAAATTTTAAAAAATGTTTCCTTGGCGGGGCTCGAACTCGCAAATAACCGCACTACTTGCCGCCGTCTTCACTCAACAGCCACAGCAGCCATAAAAAAAAATTGGTTCCTCCGCAGGGCTCGAACCCGCGACAACCCACACCACATGCCACCGCCTCTACTCAACAGGCACAACAATAATTAAGTCTCAGTAGGACAAAAACGAATTTAAATAGCAGCACAGAAAACAATAGAGTCACTGTTTCAATATTGTTGATAGAATTCGAAGCAGACGCGCAGAAAAGTATGTGTGTACTTGTAAACAGAATTTCTTGGAATTTTCGTCGCAAACACGTGCGCAGTCAAAATACCGAAAAACAAAACAAAAACTGATCTTATTGTACCATAGAATATTTGTGTATTCCCAAAAAGTAAATTGCATTTAAATTGTGGCTTAAATTGGTTGGCAATACAAGCTGGGTTATTACATTGAATTATAGCTCTGTGGTTATAGGTATAGGTGGCGATAGGTATAAAATGAAAGATACTTGATAATAACATATCATGTTTTGTGACTCTAGCTCTTATTATTTGTTACGGAACTGCTTGTTTCTCGGTGGGCCGGTTGGCTCATCGGTTTCCCTGGGTGTAGTCCCATCCCTGGACCGCAGTCGCACAATCGATAACAACAAAGCTACACGTCTGTAGCAAAAAAGACCTACACAACACTATGCAAAACTAACCATAAATCGATAACATCTAACAGCCGGAACTTCAACAACAAAATTAACAAGATAAGATTAGCATATCAAAGGAAAATATAGAAAAAATAAAATTCAAACAAAAAAGAAACAATATTCTTGCTTCAAAGTGATCTCGATTTCAAAGTCTAAGCGGATGCGGAGCGTACGAAGGTCAGGCGATGGCAGCGAAAACGAGCTTATTCCTGCCTATTTAGAATACAGATCAGTTAACAAAAGATAGACAGTATCACAGAGCAATTTAACAAACTTAAGGGAGCAACCCCGCTTGGGAAAGGTGACCTTGGGCAAGGTGACCTACCATTGTTAAAATACTACGACGAAGTCGAGAAAACAAACATTACTAACGAACAAGACCTTAATGACACATGACCCCGCCACAGCAGCTGCTCTGAAAGAAAAGTTCAGGAATGATGATCTCCATACTTTTGTATCGGGATTATGAAAGTCCTTGAGATGGTCCGTTTTCCCAGCACAACCCCAAGACCTCCCAACTGCTTAGGCCCTGGCCCAAGAAGTTGAATCGAGCAACGAAAGAGGCATCTTTGCAGCCAGCTTTGAAAGCACCTTAAAGAAAAACCTCAAAAGTCTAGTGTCCAAAAGAGCCAAAACTGGCGTCAAAACGGTGAGAAGGGGAATGAGGGTAGCTCTCCCATTTCCAGAAGGGTAAGAAAGATAATAATCTAGGTCAGCAGAAAGCAAATAGATCACAACAGCGCTTTCAGTCCCAAAAGTCACAAGGGCGTGGCCCCGAACTAATGGAAGTGGCCACTTCCTCACGCTTTTGACAGCCCACACAGGGCTACAGAGGCAACCAAGACTTTAGGGACCAGTCTATAAGGACCCAACAAAACTTTAATCATTTGCCCCAAGAAGAGGGTAACGAGGGTTACGAATCGCACTCACAGCACGAATCGGAGCCAGTCGAAGATGACCTGTCAAGAGCGGAAAGCTGTAATTTTTTAGCGGAAGCTCCCTAATCCCGTTTATAAGACGCACGGTTACAGGGCGAACAATCAGACTCCTGGTAGACACAGGAGCATCTAAAAATTATATAAAGTCCCTTCCCTAGCTGGCGCATTGGAAGCCGTTCTATTGAATGTCAGATCAATCCACGGGCATTAAACAATTGAGCAGAAATGCCTCATTGACGTCTTCAGTGTAAAATGTTCCCGCCGCAGTCAGCCCCACTTTCAATCAAATGATTGACCGAATGGCCAACGCCTTTGCAGACATACACGAGTCCCTGCCCTACAACACAATTACTATCGCCACAATCCAAGCGGACGGCGAACCGGTATAGAATATACCCATACCTAATGGGCGTGTCTGAATTTGTCAACGTAGAAGTTAAACAACTAAAATACTGACGAATGGAATGATTAGACGAATGGAATGATTAGGCCACAAGAATAAGCGTCTAGTAATTCATTTTCGAAAGTTAAGTCAAAAGACAACCGACGATAAATACCATATCCCAACAACTTCGACCATATTGTAAAATATGGGTGAGGCCCAGTATTTCAAAACACTGGACCTCAAAGCGGGTATCACCAAATAGAGTTGGCGGAAAGGGACAGAGAAGGGACCGCATTCTCTGTAAACAATGGGAAATATGAGTTTTGCAGGCCCCTAGCAATTTCAGAGGCCAATATATGTCGCCATTTGACCTAACGATAGACACGTCAAGTTTTCTGATCGGAGCACACTGATGCAAACTCTGCAAGAAGTTGTAAACACCGAGGTAACTAGCGCAATATATTTCGCGCTACATCTCAGACACAACAGAACAGAGAGAAATAGCTATAACTAAGAATAATCACGCTCATTGCGCGGCTCAAGATAATGCCCAACAATTACTTAGGGACCATTTTTTATCGAAAATTGGCCGTTTAACAACAGAAATGGCCACAACCTGCCGAGTGTGCGCTATAAGCAAACCCGATCAGACAAGAGATAGTGAAGATTTCGATACCATCAAATGCCGGAGAAATGTTACATGTGGACATTAGCTCCACAAATAGAAAATGCTTTTTAACCTGCATCGACAAATTTTCTAAATTTGCAGATATTCAGCCTATTCTTTCACGCGCAATCGTCGATATAAAGGTTCCACTTTAACAACTGTTAAACTTCTTCCCTAAAACAAAAACGATTTACTGTGACAACGAAACGTCCTTAAACTCAGAGACCATTAGATCGATGTTGTCAACAACTTTGACATCGTGATCGCAAACGCACCGTCCCTACACAGTACATCCAACGGGCAGGTTGAACGTTTTCACGGCACTTTGGGGGATATAAGTCGCTGTCTGAAAAATGGAAACGACGTCGAAGATACTTTCGACAATACTCTTCTTGCAACGATTCATTTGGTTACAAAAAAAAACCAACAGAAATTATACGCTATCCCTATAGATGTTGCAGTGCAAATGAAAAAGACAAAATCACATTAGCCCAGGAAAAATCGCTAGAACAACACAGTAAGAATAGGGTCCAAAAAACGTATAAAGCGGGTTAGAAGGTATGGATAAAATCCAACGGGAGACTGGATAATAAACTTTCGCCTTTATTCACTTTATAAACTTTTATCCAAACGATAAAAGAATAAAAAAATAAATAAACAATTGTTGAGTATTTTTTTAATCAACACATTTTATCATTACTTAGGATATTTTCCAGCTATGACAATTATGACCTTGACCGAAGCGGCATTGAAACTCAAAGACTATTCATACGCGGACTACATACCTATAGTCGACGGAGACGGATACATGGGACATACGACAAACTTGACATCGTTTGAAACCTACATCGGCGAGACAGGAAGACTGATCGACAAACTACCTAAAGACCACATGAAACGGGTACTGAAAACTGACATTCCACACATAGCCATCCTAGTAGCCACTCTGGATGTTCATAATAGGCAAGCACGTAGCATAAACATAATAGGCAGTGCCCTTAAGGTAAGTGCAGGAGCCTCAGATTTTTATGACTGGGAGTAGATAAAGTTCAAATAGGTTAATATATTCAGAAAATAGACAAATCGAGATCAACAACAAATTCCAAAGAAGACTTAACGAAGTTTCAAAGGTACTTAAAACCAGATGCGTTAGTTGAAAATTTGTATGCAACAATTTTGGCGAAAAACAGAATGATAATCACAAATTTTGAAAACTTAATTCTTTTCGTAACCCTTGCTAAAATTAATTTAATCAGTCCTCTCATCCTGGACAGCATTAACATAAACGATTTATTAAATGAGCAGCTCACAAATATTAGTGTAACAGGCCTTTTGTAAGTACCCAATATCAAAGCTTTTCAAAATTCCGAATTATAATATTCTTAAATAAAATACCCTAACCCCAAATTAACCTGTTTATATTTTCCCGTTCAGCATAATAATATAATATTAGATTTAGAAGAAGGTAATATGGTGGTCGATTGCGGTTGCTGTGCGCAACTGCGCTGCCACTGTGAGCACCAATTTCTGAAAAAGGTTACAGAAGGCATCGTGTGCCCAAAAACTGGTATCAGGAACCGTCGCACAATGCGCCACACGCCCCGGGCATCTAGAGCATCTGAGGACGACCTAAGCCTGAAGTACCTCCGCCATATCGGGGATCTTAGATCATAAATATCATCAAGATCATTTGGCTGCCATGTATTCATCGTCTGGAAACTATACAGCCCCAAAACACCAATGAGAAAAACGAGGACGGGTTTCAATCTACCCAGGAAGGATTAAACACGCGCGAGACAATAAGGGTTGATAACGCAATTGGGCCGGATGCCGTTGAAACAGATTTGCAGACGCTCGCACGCCCAAACGGCCTAATCGCTCGCAAGAGACGCCAACTCAGCATTTTCAAAACTAGCCTGCCTGCAGCAGCGGCTTCGCACATTCATTTAAGTTTCTATAATTTTAGTTTTAAATTTATTCTCAAACAGTTCAAACGAGGTGCCAACAGAAATAAATCCGTAATAAATATAAATACAATTCGGTCTTGTTTAATTTATGTTCACAAACATGCAACAAGCCGCGTGTGGCTCGTGGAAAGCGAAAAGGCAGTCGGCTGACATGTCGATTTAAGTGCGAAAAGCCAGATGAGTTTATATTGACTTTGGTTCAGGCCATTATTACGATCTGCAGTGTACCTACGCCCCCACCGTAAAAGATAATAAATTCTTTATCTTGCCCTCAAAGATTATTAAACTGTTTTATATTGACACATGAAAGATATAAGAGATTTATAAATACCATGTCGGGATCATTCCAGTGTCCAGGTCCAGCATAGGGTGCAATTACATCTTGATTATTTCCATAATAATCAATAATATTTTCAACAGATAACCACGAATCCTGGATGTCGTCAAAATTTCTCCATAGATTGCAATGAGTTTGAATCGCTGAAAAATTTGGCGGAATCCCTGCATATATTTGGTAAACAGGCCAGCTACAAGAATACACCATATGCTTCCCCGTGCTATTAAGAAGTTTTCCAAACTCCGTGTAGCCTCTATCCATATCGTATGGTAAGGCGTAGCAACCGTCTAATTTAACATAATCAACATTCCATTCTGCGAATTGATACGCATCTATTTTCTCAAACCCGATAATGCCAGGATATCCAGCGCATGTGTAATTTCCATAGTCTTCATAAATTCCAAATTTTAATCCTTTTGAATGAATCTTAAATTAAGAAAATTAAAGTTCTTGTTAAGTTTTTTGAAGTCGAAATTACTTCAAAATTTATGTTAAAAGCATAAAATTCTCATTTGGGCCGTTTTCTTAAGATCGCAAATTATATACACTTCCGCAACGCTTAAGTAAACAAATAAAGCAAATCCAGCTATATAGTAGAAATGTTGTCTTTTTCAACTTCGTATGCACATACAGCGGATAATGAGTAAATATAATTTCTTAGTTAATGTTTTCGATTGACAATAATAAAAATAATAAATTTTTGTGATATTATTTTTTATTTTGATTAAAGTAGTTATAAGATAAAATATATATATATTTATATATATACTATTCCAAGCTACATGACCAGTTTGGTGACTCTTGCTCAAAAAACAGGATTTCGACATAGATTTTTATTGATTGCTTAGAAACGGGGTCGACAGACGGACATGACTAGATCGACTCGGCTGTTGATGCTCATCAAAAATATATACACTCTATTGGTCGGAGATGCTTCCATCTGTCTGTTACATACATTTCCACAAATGCATTATACCCTTTTTATCCATTTTCAATGGGTTCAGGAAATAAAAATCAGGCATCGTTCTCTTACGACAAAAGGTAATATAAAGTCCGTTGTAAGTCCTGCAACCCCTGCAGGCATGCCCATTACGGCTCCACACATACGTCTTCCGCTTCTGCCACTTTCCAAGTTTTTTGGAAAAAACTGAACTTACAAATTTTATTTGTCTGTTCAAAACTCTTGTTCATAGTGATCATGCAATTCCGAGTATCCGAAATATCTAATGATTAGGTTATGATAAAAATATTTCTAAGGCAATTATCATTCACCGCGTTATAAACAAAGTTGACGAAATGACCAGACTAAAATGGGAAGATCAACTCGATTATGCAACATTATGGAGTGATTGCGAAACAGCCTTAAGTCTCAACATCTGTTTCCTGAAGAATCAACTTAAGTTTCGTTCGGCGGTTCCAAATCACGAAGCAGAAATTAACAGCATATGCCGAATGATCAAAACAGCAGTAGTTTGAGTTCGCTAAGGCGCTCCTTTTTGCATCAATTACCTTCTAAAGGGACACACTGTTTCCAGATGTAAGGATTACCACCAAGAGTTACCACCACCCCTTGACTCCGCACAGGATCAACCATCGACATGAGAATTTGATTTCGGAAAAGTGGCGATTTATTTTACTCGTCTATTGTTCATAAATCAGTTTGTAACGGGCAAGGTAGCATAACGATTCTAGCTGCGTAGAAAAGGGGCTAGCATCAGCTTACTTGGGATTGCTCAAAACAATAATTGCGTAAAAATTAGACCCATCCAGTGATGTAGTCGCGAGTCAATTGCAGCGAGGTCACGTTAAATCTGCAGATCTTGAAGACCATTATGGTGCATCAGCCTGACCATGCCAGTCAATGTCAATGTCAGTGGTTGGAAAATCCCGGAGCGCCTGTCCTTGGCTGATTCATATTTTCAAAAGCCAAGGAAGATCGACCTGTTTATCGGAGCTAAGACGTTTTTTGAACTTATCTTTGCCGTTCAGATTAAACAAAGTGCGAATTATACGGTTTTTCAAAAGGGGCTTGCTGGCCAGATTGTCTCAGGGCGTTACACGCCAAGTCGTGAGAAGACTTTTGCTGTCAATCTAAGTTGTCAAGCAGAGTCATATATCCGATAGCAAAACGTACATTTTTGGTCATTGTAAGATTGGCTTTCAGACAAAAAAATCCGAAGAGTTGAACAGCAGTTATGCGAGAGACACTTTCTAGACAATTCGGAAATATTGTCGTTCTTCGTCTCAAATTGCGTTAAATGGCCATCCTATGGTCATTCAAGAGGAGCTAAATACGACTCTGCTTCGATTTAGACTCCACAAATATGCATGGACAGCTGACATTTAAGATGAATAGGTAGGCCCTGGTGCATGAAGCAGGTCGAGATTTCCAGTCTGGCAAAATAACCCATCTGAATCTTTGAGGTCCTTCAGGCTAAACACTGTAATTAACGGCACAGCGCCTGCTGTATGCAAATGGTTTTTGAATTCTACTAAGTTCACCGTAACAAAGTTGATAACGCTCTTAGAGTCTGACACAACCAAAATACTTGGTGTGATATGGTTGCCAAATGAAGATGCTTTTCAATTCAAGCTAGACGATTCCTTCTCTCAGAGCGACGAAATGGGACATTCTCTAGGTGACATTGCGGCTATTTGACCCGCCTGGCCTGTTAAGTCCTCTGATAATCAAGGAAAGAATCTTACTCTAAAACTTGGATAATTCATGGCAGCAACCGAAATCAACTTTAATTCAGTTGGAACAAATACAGATACCACGATATATGTTTAAAGAGCCAACTTACGACGAAGACTCCACTTCGGTTTGTGTAGTGCGTGGCTCACCTCGCGGATTTTTGTCATCAAATTGGAAATCTCATAAGATTACCGATTGAACGGACGGTTCTTTGATCTATTTCTGAAGTCACGCTTCATTGGACTTAGTCAAATCCTTCGTCTTTCGCAACATTTGTGTCGAATAGTCGATGCGTCGATGTGGTTCGGAAGAGCAGTAATTTTTTAAGAAACCAAGAGAATCCTGGCCGGCTTGCTCATGTGTCCCGCTTTATTCAAAAATGTTAAAATCGATTAATACAATTTGAAAGTATCCCTAACGCGCTCAAAAGAAAATAAACTTTCGAGAAAAAAGTTGAAGTCATCCAGCGAGTTGAATTCAAAAATGACTGAAAGAGAGTTCGGAAGGGCACGCGCGTGGGTCATAGCCTGCAGCTTCTCAATTAATTTATACATGAGTGATCTTTTTCGTTGCTTGGTGATCTTTTTCGTTGCTGCGAGAAGGGGCTACTTGCAAATGCTCCTCTTCCGTATGATGCCAAGATTCCGCTACTTCTTTATTAGATACCAGCATTCGACGATTTGTCATGCTGGCTAAGAGGTCTGTCGTCAGACAGTGTGACACTATCAATAAACACTAATACATATTTAATGGCTTTGCAAAGGTTCATAGGACTCCCACAGACCGCCCATCCCGCCAGTTTCGGGAGTTGCGAACTCGAATCGAGAAAGAGCGGACATAATTCGCGCCTTTTGCAACAAGGCGGGCTAACACGATTTTGATAAGCAATAATCGGCAGATCCTTTTGCGCCTGCAGAGTTAGCCATACTTGCTGTCATTGATGTCATAGTTGGCTGCCACCCAGTCGTTACTGTCATAAACTCGGACTAGATGCGAACTAGATGCGCCACTGGACCCTAATTCATTTGAATGAATGGTGGTTCTCTCACCCATCGGCACCAACTCAGAGGGGAATTCACTTGGACGATCTATGGGCCGATCTTGGAGGAGGATGCGGCATTCACCCGACCTTTCCCGATGGAAGGCTTCCATAACAGAGCACAGGTGAGTTGAGGATGATATAATTAATCCAGCCGTGAACCACGGTCTTGCGTATTGGTGGTGCATCTGCAGCCATAAACGACAGCCGCTTGGTGATCGTGTGCTAGCTCGGAAGATGATTAGGCCCCATTAAAGCAAGGCAGTAATGGGTAGTCATGATTAGAACCTTCACTGGTTTGGCCTATTGGTTCGCTCCCCGATCTTTCAAAGGTATTTTGCAGAATTCTGCTATATCGTCTTCTGGATGGATGCACAACCTGACCACTAATTTGAATTTCCAGGATGCCCCAATGCGGTTGAGCAGATACTCAACCCGTTACTTGTGCACAGCGGCATAATCGCTCGCATAAAAGATCGGAAACACCTATGATGCCACCGATCCTGGTGCAACCTCCGACATTTATTAATGGTCGACAAAACGAATGTCAACCTAAGTATTTGGTACATAGGAGTATTACATTTAATTTAAAGTGACGTTATGAGAGTCTACGGCTAAGAAAAAAAGTGTTAGTCTAGCAAATAGATTTCCTAAGTAAAAATTACAAAACAAATTTAGTTGGCTATATTATTTTGGAATATATAACAAATAGGGAAAAATGGAGAACCATTAAAAATAAAAGTAGCGAAATTTGTACTAGTATAGAAGGTATTTAGTATGTAGGTTAGGCTAGGTTAAGTTAAGTTAAGCAAAGATTTTATTATGGAGACTGAAAATTCAGAGGAGAATACTTGACGCAGTCTAGTTCAGTTTTGCATAATGCATGAAATGGGTTGTGCGTAGCCTGTCGTACACGTAGGTAGAAATAAAGGGTGATAATTCCTGGTAGGTCTGGACGGAGCAGAGAATTGAAGTCAACAACCAACTTATGTAGGAAAACAATACGATGGTTTGTCTTTCAGTTGATTAACGACGGAAGGTTAAGAAAAATGAGCTTTCAAGAGTACGATTGCAACCAAAGATTAACTATATAACTATATGAAGGTTGAAGATGAACTTAGAAAAAAAAGAACCCCAGGTGCTTAATTATATAAACGTTGCAGCCTAATAAGATAAACCCTAGTGCGATTGCAGGTTATAAAGATACACCTTGAACAATTTGGATGAAATTTATTGGCCAAACATCAAACAGAGAGTTTAAATCATCTTGTAGACGAAAGTGACATAGGAATAAATGTTGAAAAGAATAAGTTTAACATCATCGGCAGTACATGAGCATGCGATGGTGTAACAGAAGGGAGATCATTTATAAAAAAAAAAATAACGAGCAAAGGATGTCCGGTTGCTAAAAGTGAATATAATGTTAATTTGTTTGTTCTTTGCTAGTAATATTTCATTGAATTTCCTTAGAATTTATCAATGTACTTGCTTTAACCACTGCTTGGGAGAGTAAAATTATCTATGATCAAAAATAGATAAATACATACATAATCTGACAATGCTTTAATTCCATTAGGAAATCGCCTTCGATCAGATAGAAGTTTTCCATCAGGTCCACGATACCTCTCCAACCAACAGTCATCAATATTAACATATTCATATCCCACAGATGCATATCCCTCCGACACAAGAAGATCAGCCATTTTTTGAAAAAGTCGTTCACTAAAATAAAATAAAAATAAAGTTATATTTTATTTAAAAATAAATCAATCGAAGATTTTTCAATTAGTTGCTTTGAAGGTTGTATTATTCTCAGATTATTACGCAAGCAAAACAATTAAAAGGGGATAACTTAAACCTTCTTCAAGCAACACAAAGAATTATATATATTTAAAACGGGAACAAATTATATCTTCGGTATTCCGAAGATTTAATACCCTTATAGGCTATTATGCTATCGATCTTTTTTAATAGATTTCTCAAATATAAATAATTGATCGTATTTTATTTCTTGTGTTTCAATTTGATTGCATTTGTTGTAACTTAAAAGAAGCAGGCAGCCCAGAATTGGTTTGTGCTTATTATTTAATAACAATACGAATAATAACAATGCGAACCTGAATTGGTGCTTGGCGATTGCAGCAAAGCGACAATTAGTTGATAAGTTATTAATATATTTGAATAATGCAAGTGACCGATGTCTATCAACTGCAAGAAGTGAACGAACTTAACTAACTTAATGCGCAGCATCGAGGCCTTAGCATAAGTTAATACTAGGGTAATAAATGATCGTTACAGAGAAAAGCGCCAGATCAATAAAATAATGTTAAGAGCGAAATTTAAGCAGTTGCTTCGCAGAGCAAGTATTATAAGTGCTGCTTTTATCAGGTGCGAGGTAGCTGCAGCTGTTTTATATCTTATATATATATATATATATATATATATATATATATATATCTTATCACTATATATATCTTATCTATATCTTAATGGCTATACTGTTCAAAATGTTCCACAAACCGACGTGCTTAGTAGCCCCTGTTTCTAACTCTGAGCACACAAGACATGACCACAATACAACAAAAATATCTCTACAAAATGTCTCTACAGGTTTATCTGTGAAATAAAAAATAAAATACTAGAGTACAACTATAATATCGCTGTTAATAAAAAATTGTAATCTGTTTAACCTTTAACTTCAAATTGTTGTTTTATAATGTATTTGTACTGTGACACTAATATTACAAGCGGAGAGTCAAATTCGATAAAATCCATTTTAATGGTTCTTCTAGCTATATCTTTCACTCTTTCCGTCCGTCCGTCCGTATAAATGTACGAAAGGATTTTAGAACCTATAAGACACATGAAATTTATAAATTAAAATAGGGAAGTGTTAGAGTGACGTATGGGGTGTCGATGTGCGGAAGTGTGAGCTTGCGGGGTCACACACAAACATACGCCCATACGTTAAGGCGTTTGTTCGCAAACATTAGGCGAGTCATTCGTGCCAAGGATAATAATACATAATAATATAAAACAAATAGGAAAAAAAAACAAACGAAATGCAAGACGAACAAAAAAAAATGAACAATTTCATAAATAAATATAAAATAAAATAAATACAGGGTAATATAAATATTTAATAAAAGAGAAATAAGGAAGGAAAGAAAATTCAGGTATCCAGAAATAAGAGGCGAAAGAGAAAGAGACACGGGTAAATGACAAAATCCAGGCGTAGGCGTACGGTAGATCCACCTGCGGCGGTAGAAGGTTCGGGCTGAGTGAACTAGGGCGGGTCGAAGACTTGCGTCCTCACTTAGAGAGCTTCTTTTCCGTGGGTTCGGCCAAAATATGGACTCGGCTAGCCGAGTTGGAGGTTAAATATACACGACGTCCGGAGCATAAGGCCCAGCCCGAACCCGATCTCACTGAATGGGATAGGCGGTCGAAATCCGAGTCAGATTCCGGCCCACGTCTGAGCACACCTGAACTGCTTGAGGATCCAGCGATCCCGTGCTATAGGGCCCGCGATGCGGCAGATGAAATAAACGTGTCGGGAGTAAGGACAGTCTTCATCGTACCCGCGCAAGTTAGGAAGTGGGGTATGCGATTTGATAGGCAAGCTGATCCGCTGTCCTTCGTGGAAGCCATCGACTATCGGCCCATATCATACAACATCGACGTAGACAGGATGCCAAGGGCAAAGAATGAGGTCATGGTCGGTGGGCCCCTCGGGGGTTCATGACGCGCAGTTTCTAGAATTTTTCTTGCCTCAGCGGTATTTCGAGTAGCTAGAAGATGAGATCCGGACCCGCCGCCGACGAGATGATGAAAGATTTAAGCAATATGTGGTAGACCTGATTACAGCCCTGAGAGGGAATTGAGTAGGATATACGAGAGCGAAGTTTTGGAATATATACTGTTTATGCAAAGAAAAGACTTCTCGTCTGTGCCCGGCTCATACAGTTGGCCGTCGGATATGAGGGCATAAGACAACAATCCTCAGGTAATTTTTTGTTCGCATTGTGGCACCAGAGGGGTAGGCAGCCAAGAATTCTGTAGGCAACCGGCTCGGCGGCGCCACCCGGACCGGGTGCGGGTGGGCACAAACGCTATGGGAGCCCGGAAACATGACACAATTTGCGAGTCGAGGGGGGTCGTGTTGTCGCGACGATCAAAATCGATGAAGACCAATATGCGGCGATGATCGACACCGTCGCTACCCGATCATTAATGAGTAGGGCCTGCGCGGCAAAAGTGGCGAAGAACGGGGAGATTAGAGAGGTACGGAAACGACTAGCGGACGGATCGGGGCTAGATGTCGCACGGACGGTGCGACAAAGATCAGCCTAGCTAGTCGCACGATTTGCGTGCCCCTGCTGATAATGGCGTTTATGTTAGATGAAGTGATCCTTGGGATACGAGACGAGGATACGCTGTGGAGACAACCGACAGGAGGCACGGTCGGGTGATGAAGGGGTGTCCAGGGTGCCGGTAGGAGTTCCGAAACGGGAAGGTGTAGGGCTCTCAATGAAAGGCAGCTTGGAAAGGCAGGGGACGACAGAGGTCAGTTTAGGCAAGGAATTGGCACCCATGAGTGGATCAGCACCTAAGAGCGCAAGGAAAGGGTGAATGGATCCCACAGGCAGGAGGATCAACCTCACACGTTAAGAGGAGTCCTACTAACAGACGAAATAGTCGCGCGGGATAGCTCTGCCGGTCTGAAGAGGGGAGTCCGAACAGTGAGGGCGTCTGGCCAGCAGACCTGGAGCCGAGCTTACAAATGCTTCTGAAGGAGGAGTTTCAAGATTCCCATATAACCAGCCATCGTATGGTAATGAAGGACACCGAGCCCATAAAGCAAGTGGAAGAATTACTCCGGACGGAAGGGTTCGAGCCATCCCGAAGACCATACAGCGCGCCGATCGTGCTGGTAATGATGAATACGGGGGATTGGCGAATGTGTATCGATTATAGGCAGTTCAACGCACATTCTAAGCAGGGATATTGGCAGACACCCATGAAGGAATGGAGTAAGCAATACACAGCGTTTACGGTACCAGGTCGGGTCTATACCACTGGAAGGTGATGCCCTTCGCCTTTGCCCATCTGTATGACATCATCGTCATAGGAGCGACCATGGAGCAGCAATTGGCAAACTAGAAGGAAGTGTTCCTGATACTAGACCAGGAGAAATGTCGATTCTGTCATAAGAAGCTGGCGTACTTAGGTCATATTGTGAGCGGCGAGCGAATTCATACGGATCCTTGCGATCCAGAGGCTGGCAGCGCCGTCGAATCGTCGTGGTATCGACGCTTCGTGCCCAATTTTGCGTCAGTAGTGCAGCCAATGACCGCTCTCCTGAAATAGGGAAATGCGTGGTCGTGGGGTGGGGAGAATCAGGCCACATTAAACCCGTTAGAATACAATAAAATGCGAAGCTGACGCGCAGGAACGTGTGTTTGTCGATATCGATTTTTATCGATTGCTTGGAAACGGAGTAAGTATTATCCGATACCACATACGAGGCGCTAACGCTGCACTTTTGTGAGAGCGGCGGCGGCGGCTCTGCGGCAGCGACGACGTCTCTGAGGCAGCGACGGCGTCTCTGCATTCATTAAAATTGTATTCTTCATTCTAAGTTTGGAAACAATAAAACGCGACGTATCGTCTCTTGAAATCTCCCTTTAGTTAACTCATTTTCTTTATCTATTTTTGAATGCAACTGGCAAATCCAAAGTTGCAGACATAAATGTACTAATAAAAAAAACGAGAAAGAAAGGCTATCTTCGGCACGCCGAAGACCCTTGCAGACCAACCTTTTCATAATGCTCATAGTGCTTTGCCCGTATCTAAGAAGCAGGATCGTTTCTATGGCAGATATATGATATAGTAGTCCGATGTAAATAATATTTTGCAAAAATGAATACAACTTAATTTTCAATCGTTTCTATGGCAGCTACATGATATAGTTGGCCGATGTTTATAGGATTTTGCATATACATGAGGAGTATAGTTAAACTAATAAATGCCGAGTTTGGTTAAGATATCGTGGAAAAACAAACAAATTTTTCATACAACAACTTAACTTTCGAACGATCCTTCCTATGGCAGCTATATGACATAGTGTACCGATCTCAATAGGATTTTGCATTTATATTAGGAGCAAAGTAAAACTAATAAATGCCAACTTTGGTTAAGATATCTTGATAAACAAAAATGTTTTTCATGCAACAACTTAATTTTCGATCGATCGTTTCTATGGCAACTATATGATATAATGGTCCGATCTTAATAGGATCTCATTAATTTTAATTTTCGACCGATCGTTCCTATGGCAGCTATATGATATAATGGTCCGATCCAACTGGCTCTGACATAAGTGCTGCGTGCAACAGAAAGAGGGACTTCTGCAAAGTTTCATAAAGATAGCTTTAAAATTGAAAGACTAGTTCGCATAGAAACAGACGGACAGACGGACATACTGATTAAGAATATATATACTTTATGGGGTCGGAGATGTCTCCTTTTATTCGTTACACATTTCACGACAAAATTATAACAATGGTATAAAAAGTATAATAATATTGAAAAATAAAAAATCCTATTAGCTTAACTTTTACGTGTTGTTCGGTTTCATATAGAGGTTTCAATTCGAATGAGCGACTGTGACTCCGACGTAGACTATCACGAACGCTACGACAGTAGTCTAGCGAGGTTAATAGGGGGATTTGGTACATTGCAGGTATCAGATTGTGTTGACTGAACCTGATACAGAAACAAACTCAATTATGGATCCAGAGAAGTTGCGTGCGATAATTGATGCTGCAGTGCGGAGCGCACTCACAGCGCAGGCGCCAGAATTCGCGAATAGGGGAGCTACGCTAAGGCAGGAGCTTCAACAACAGATTGCGCAGGTGTGGAATATGGTAAGAAATACACAGCTTTCAGTGCTAGAAGTGAAGGCTTACAAGGAAGTTGAAATCATAGACGGGGTGGAATGTAACGACTACGATGAGGTTGAAAAATAGCTCACGTTACTCACGAACAAACCCATATGATTACGATAGCAATTTGGCGGCGGGATGTGTGAAAAATTCACGGGTGAGGCACTTCGCGTATTTATCTCTGGACTAAAATGCAGTCTAACCTATGTGTTGTTTTTGGCTCACCCTTCGGATCTGCCGACGGCACCAGCGTTAGCCCAGGAGGTCGATAATCACGAGAGATATGCCTTCGCGATAAGCTTTGCTAGGGGTCAAGAAAAGCGAGTTCGTCCGTAGCAGCGCCCACAAGGGCGCCAGCAACAACAGCAACAAGAAAAAATGCAATTCTCTCAGGGTGGCCAGGTTAAGAATCCTCATTTCCAGAAGTTTCCATGGAATTCGACCCTTCTTCCCCCAGGTTAAGACAGCCCACAAACTTTTCGAATGCCTAGGTTTCGGCTAAGTTTAATGTCAGCCAAGGTCATGGAAATAAACGCTCTGCCGGATCAGACCGAGCGATAGGCCAAAGGAGGCAAAGGATAGACCATATCCGGGCAAGCGAGGCTGAGAGCGCAGGGTATACCGACGCGGCAGAAGAGGCGAACAACGAAACATAGCCCAGAATTTGATAGCGATAGCGCTCATTTTTTAGGGGAAAGTCCCTGCTACCGTTCATTCGGAGGAGAATAGCGGGGATAGATATGAAATTTTTAATCGAGACGGGTGCGGCAAAAAATTACATCAGGCCGCACAAACGCCTTAAAAGCGTCGTCCCTGACGAGTCCCCTTTCGCTGAATAATGCAGGTTATCCATGCTTGGGTGCGCACATAATTTTTCCTACTAGATTCCTTATTTACTTTTTATGGAATTATAGGGCTGGACCAGATATCCTGCGAGTGCTTCACCGAAACAAGAAGGCTTTTAGGGACTCTAACGAGGCGCTGCCTTATAACACGGCTGTCGTGGCCACAATCCGTCGACCAACGAAAATGTGGTCAACTCATCATCATAATCCGAAAGTCGAAATCGCCATACAACAATCTGCAGACATTAGACATTAGGAAGCTCAACCTCAATACTGTTGCCGACAAATACATAATGCCAAGTATCACAATGACACTGGCTAATCTGGGTAAACCCAAACACTTCATGACGTTCGACCTGAAATCAGGCAGAAGCAAGATCGTGAGAAGACGGCCTTTTCGATAAATGGTGGAAAGTACGAATTTTAACGACTTTCCTTTGGCTTGAAGCAAACAGCAATCATTTTTCAGAGAACCATAAATGACGTTCTGCGGGAGCGGATTGGAAAATCTTGCTACGTTTATGTAGACGACGTCATCGTGTTTTCGAAAAACGAGTCGGACCATGTCAGGCATGTCGATTGGGTATTAGGGAGCATTTTATACGCGAAAATGCGTGTGGCGCACGAGAAGTCACAGTTTTTTAAAGAAAGCGTCGAGTATCTCGTCCTTATAGTGACTTAAGATGGTGCAAAGTCAGATCCAAAGAAGGTAAAAGCCAATCGGGAATTCGCTGATCCAACTTCGGTGTTTGAAGTAAAATTCTTTTTGGGATTAGCAAGCTATTACCGGTGCTTTAATAAAGATTTTGCAGCAATAGCGAAACCAATGTCTGACATCGTAAAAGGGAAAGACGGATCCATTAGCAAGTACAGGTCTAGAAAGGTCCCTATACAATTCAACGATGCTCAGCGCAACGCGTTCCAAAAGCTTAGAAACATATTAGCGTCGGAAGACATTAAACTGATATACCCGGACTATAAAAAACCATTCGACTTGACCACAGACGCTTCAGCCTATGGCACAGGTGCTGTCTTGTCGCAAAATATGATCGTCCCATAACTATGATATCCCGGTCCTTAAAAGATAGGAAAGCAAATTTCGCTACCAACGAGCGGGAGTTGCTTGCCATCGTCTGGGCATTGGGTAAGTTGCGGCACTTTTTTAACGGGGTTAGGGACGACATAAATATTTTCATCCGAGAGTAATCCCAATGCTAAAATAAAGCGCTAGAAGGCGCGCATTGATGAGACAGGGGCCAAGATTTTCTATATGCCTGGCAAGGAAAATCATGTGGCTGACACACTGTCGCGTCAAAACGAGCTACTCACGAGAATGTGAAACAGGTCATGACGGAATACTATTTCCCTAAAATGACCAAATTGACTAATGAGGTAGTCCATAACTGTAAGATTTGAACAAATGCTAAATACGACAGAAACCTAAAGAAGCACGAACTCGACCAGACGCCACTTCCCTAAAAAACTGGAGAAATGTTCCACATTGAAATTCTTCTCCACGGACGAAAATTCCTCCTTACTTGCGTTGACAAATTCTCAAAGTTTGCGGTGGTCGCATTCAAGTCAGAGACCATTATGTCTCTGCTATTGTATGATTAAGGTGTGATCGTGGTAAACGCGCCTCCCCTTAATAGAACGTCTAATGGGTAGGTAGAACGCTTTCACAGCGCACTGCTGAAAATGGGGGTAAAGTTGACACAGTCGACCTCATCCTGCAGGCCACTATCGAGTTGATATACTCGAGCTTAATTCACTCAGTGGTTGAGAAGAGGCTTAATGATATCTTGCTTAACTCTTCACTGGAAGGTAGGTAACAAAGTCTTTGAAGTAGGTAAAAAGGTCCTGGTAAAGACAAATCGTATATTAAGCAACAAGCCATCGCAATTGTTTGCAAACAAAAGGTTGAAGCGGACTTGGGGACAACGGTCCTCATTGAGGGGAGGGTGGTCCACAAGGACAGCCTCCGTGGAATTTAAAGCACCATTTTGTCATTACCATTTTCATAACAGTAGTTTAAAATTTTAGGATTACGTTCACCATACTTTCAATCATGTCCATGACAACGGCACGGCTGACGGACTACTTGCATGCGGACTACTTGCCGATTATGGACGGGGACATTCTACTTTGGGACAGTTAAGGATACTTACGTCACACTATCAATCTCACGGACTATAGGACAATGACTGAGGAGAGAATGAAACTGATGGGAATGTTTCCACAATCCAATATGAGGAAATTGCTGAATATTGACATTGGACCGACTTCAGGAAAACAGAACTGACTCAGATACAGCTGGTCACTGCAAGCAATAGACAAATTTCTATGAATTCTAGGATGTAGGAAAAGATTAATCAACTGACCGACACTGTTAACAGAATTATTAAGTCCCCAAAAGATAAGCAGACCGATACCGGACACCTCTTGCACACGCAATAGAATGATGATAACAGAAATAGGAAACCTTATGCTTACTTTAACCTTAGAACAAATAAATGTAATAAACTCAACAATAATAGATCATTCTGATCTTATGATTATTCTCACTGACCAAATCGCAGGGACACCTATTACGGACATTTTGAAAGTACCTAATATTAAGGTAGAACGTAAGGATAATGTAAGGTTTCATAATCGAGTTCCCCATAATAAGCAAGCAACGTAGGAAGATAATAATTTCCCAGTCACCCACAATGGTTCTGTACTTCAACTCCACGACAATCTGGTGGCCGATTGCGACGGGTAGATGTTGGCCGTAGCCAATTATTCACAAGCTGCAACTACCACATTTTGCAAGCGGTCCAAGAGCAGGAGTTGCGCACAGGGCCTCCATGCAGAGGGTAAAGTCCATTGCCATCTTATCCCTGTCACCATAATGGACGGCAACATCATCATCATTAACGATCGTAGCGCAATACTCACCTACGACGTATGCGCCGCGATGAAGATAGATCGGTTCGGGGGAGTAGTTAACCACTGACCCAACGACGGATATGTCGTAACTATGTTGCTAGCCGCGGCGGTCATCCGATACCGCACACGAGGCGCTAACGCTGCACTTTTGCGAGAGCGGCGGAGGCGGCTCTGCAGGCATTGCTTATATTAATAAAAATTGTAAATTGGGTGCAGAACAATATTTTACTATTGTTGTGTGTTTGACGCGGGCCAGTGTTTTTATGATTAGATGTTTGCAGAATGGCTGTTGTGTGGTGCGAGTGGGGCGATCATTCCTTTTCTCTCTTATTACACTGCCCTATGGACACAAAACTTGTTTAAGGCATTGCAAATTTTATTTTTTTAACAGATGTTCGCTGGTCATAAAATAATTTAAGTGACCATTGGGCTACCGCAGGCAATGAGGGCTTTTGTAAAATTTAATTATCATATTCCGTTTTTTTTTTTTTCAATAAAATTACACTAAATGTTTGGTCAAGCAGAAAAAGAGGTCAAATAAATTTATAACACTCTGTGCACTCCACTTCCCACTCTCTTAGGCTAACCCTTTGCTTACTGCATTGGCATGCGCTGGCCGTCGCAGTTAGCGGCCAGAGTCAGTCTTATATATCAGCTTCGTTAATAATAATTTGATAACAATTGATAACAATTACAATCTTATTTAGTTCTAATAACTTCCAATAAATTGTATATTAGTTTTAATAAGCGAAACTGATCTGATTGAATTTTGTTGTTACACCTACGCTCTCACATGTATGTTTAGTTGCAAAAATGTACACTACATAGTATAATCATTTATTTTATATCAACATACCTTATACAGTTGTCAGGATCATTTAAGCAGTCAGTATTGCAACGAAACCGCTCCCAAGATAACCATCCCATTGGAGGGGTTCTTGCTAATCCATTTTCTAAGCAGTTACATGCCGCAGTCAGAGCGCTTATAAGAAAAATATGCGTAAGCATATTGTCTGAAAAATAAGCAAAAAACATAATAATTATATTTTTTTATTAAATTTTAAAGTTTGTATTTGCCTGTAATGATCATTTATTTGCCCTACCATTAACTTATGCTAAGATCTCGATGCTGCATGGAGTTGGTTAACTTCGTTCGCTCTGTGTATTTGGCACACATCGACCACTTGCATTATTCTAATATATTAAGAACTAATCAACTGACGCTATGCTGCAATCGGCACGTACCAATTCAGCTCCAGTTAATTAATAATAAGCGCAGACCAATTCGGATCTTCCTGCTTCTCGTAGCTTTTAACAAATTTAAATTCAAATTGAAACACAAGAAATAAAATTATTTTACTCTTTTTAGTGTAAAAGCTATTGAAAAAGCTGTATACGGCAACAGTTAGTTACGTCGGTCAATACTTCTTGATCTTACTTGACATATGTAAACTTCACTTTGCTCCAAATATATTTGCAAAATCCCTTCTTATCCTATATATGGAAAACTTTTTGTTTATCAAGTTTTCTTACCCAAACTAGGTATTTATAAGTTTCAGTTGGTCTCTTTATGTGTATACCCCAATTGTGGCGAAATATATACGTTTTAAAAATAAACGTCTCCTAGTCAATAGTCAACCTAAAAATATTTCCAAACGTAAACATAACTGCATTTGATGCAAACATGACTACATGAAGTGGTCGAAGTTGTGTCTAAATTGGTTTGCAAGGACCATCACCATAATGAATGTTAAGGTTCTCACAACTGTTACACTCGCAAGGGTGGGGGCATCGTAGCCTCCAACAAAATGACCCTTCTAACGAGCCCGCTAATTGTTCGGGATCCGATAGTCAAAGGGGTCAATAAAGTGTACAGGTGTACAGGTGTGCTCTTAGGCACTGTCATCATTAACATGTTCTGTGCCACCCACGAGAAGCAGACTTTGAATAGAGGTATCTGCTAGAGTTGTGTCGTTTAGTTCAGCCCACGTTCGATTGAACGGGTCATTAAAATGAACTACTGAACTAATTAGTGAACTAATTCGGTCATTTAGTTCACTCGTTCAGCTATTCAGTCGGTCATGAACGATGTATTCTGTACACGTTCAGTCGGTCATGAACGAATACATTCTTTTGAGATGTTCAGTTCTTAATAAACATAAAAGATATTGGGATTTTAATTTCACTTATGATTTGACTGCATAACTGAACTAAGCGAATAGTTCATGACCGACTGAATAGCTGAGCAGAATTCATCGTTCATGACCGACTGAATAGCTGAACGAGTTCAGCTGTTGAACAAGTGAACTAAATTACCGATTTAGTTCACGGCCAAAATATAAACGAGTGAACTTAATCAGCAAATTGAACTAGAAATTCCCACTCTAGTATCTGCGTATGTTCTCGAAAATGTATTGGACGATTTGCCATCCGGCACTTGACAGACATTCAGTTAGTTGATCCATTCTTCTCCAAAAATGCACACATTGATGTACTACTTGGTGCAGATTATTTTCCATCGATATCGCTCGATGGACTCCAGTTCAATATCTGCGGTACACCACTCGTACAGGAAATAATTTTCGTGTGGTAGGTGGAGGATATACAGGGCAAAGTAGGTATGGAATTTTAAAATCTGTGTGCACAATAAAAGCCCAATAATCTTGCCGACCTCGTTTGTGATCATCCAGAACAGGTCTTAACTTTTGAGACTCGCGTACTGGAGAATCCGTGCAAGCCAGTCTCTCGCATCTGCGCATCTTTCCCAAGGGAGTGCCGTCTTGCCATCACACGCATTGGCAACCAAGGGAGCGCACGGCAGCGATCCGGTTCAGAAAAACAATAAGTTTCTAATTGGTCTTCGACCTCCAGGTGGATCTTCAGATTGAGTGCATTGAGTGCATCACTCCAGTAAGATAGATGAAGACAAAAACAATAAGTTTATAATTGGACGTCGTTCTCTAAGTGGATCATTAGATTGAGTGCGTCACTCCAGTCAGTTAGATGAAGACGAGTGCACGCGATAAATTCTTTTACCCATCATCTAAAGTTTCCATGGAGCTGGGGGATGGGGTATCGCTCAAGCCACCAAGTTCCGATGGATTTTATCCGCAAGTTAGAATTACTGACCGCCAATAGTTATTTTCCCCGAACGTGCCATCCGCCATTTCCGCCATCATACCGCTGGAGTTTCCCGCACACTTCTTCAATACCTTCAGACTTCCTTAGACTTTCTGCAGGATGCGACGGTGGTGGTGTTGACGCTTCGTCAGCATCTCAAACGCAATCGGACTCCCATTTATCAGCCATGACAAAATTCCCCAAAGTGTACCTATCGAACTTTTACTAAAGCCAACAAACCCTAATAAATATTGACAAATTCTAATAACCTCACCTAGTAAACAAAAAAATAAATATGTAAGACGCCTCTTGACGGACAAATTTTACTACTTGTGAAGTTTCAAGCATTTTTGCAACTAATTAATTCTCACTGCTCGTGATTAGCTAATTTCAAAGAAGTTAATTTTTTGTTTTAATCTTATATATTTTGCCGGGCGCTTACAATTAATAATGGTATGATTGTTTCTTGGCAAACTCGAACTAGTTGTGTTTAGATTGCGATTAAACGAAAAAGAATGGGCAGCAAGGAAAAAAACGCGCAAACTCTATTTGCTGTTTGGCTGTCATTTTGATTGTCTTATTCTGCTGGTGGGTACTTCACGCAGCCGTCGGTGTTGTTTCTGTTGATACTTGACCAAACATTCTTCCCCCGTTGGAAGGCAAGCGCTTTCAAAATTATCCTGTTTGGACATCAAACATAGCTTGCGTAAGACTCTGCGTACGACTCTGCGTACGAATCTAGTCGCAGTCTGAAGCACAGCAATTCTGAATAGCTTATTAGCCACATCAGTGACGGTAAATCTAGACCTTTACAAGGGCGACATCGTTAATGGAGACTCTTGCCTGAGGGGTACTCCATTTGGAGCGCTGTTGAAGAAGCGTTAAATATTCTTCGCGCCAACGGGCCTAAAATACTTGCTGGAGATATGTACACGCTGAAAATAGTGTAGTAGGATATATATGTATACAGTCATACATACACGCAGACACATAGTCAAGCCTATTTGGTCAGCAATTTAACGTTTATCTCAAGTTCGTTCAATTCTACTCTTGTATTCTAATTCTTACAAGGAGAGCTCGGCAAGTTCAATCACTTCTTGTCTCGCTCACACATGCACCCCTGTCCACGTTTTGTCTCCGGAGATGTTGCATACAAATTTTAGATTTTGTTATTATAGGAACCCAAGGGGGTCGTAAAAGCGAGCGCTGCCATCGTCGAGCTTAAGCAACGATTCTCTATCCTCTTCCGGTAAGTTTTGCAGTACAGCAGTCATTTTGCATATGCCACCTGTTGCATTAGTATCGAAAGCAGCTTTGGTTGGATGGTAGGGCCTCCTGTCAGTGTATCAATTAGCGAATGTCCAGAGGTAGTAGCTGCAGAGCCATCAAAGACGAAATTTAGCTTGGTTCTGGTGCTTTTCTCCTTTAGCACGCAATGATGTGGCAGGTAGTACTTGCATTGGCCCTGTGCAACTAAGCTATCAGTGACATATGACCCAAGTCAAAATAATCATTGATGAATGCTGCATACGGGGTCCTCAAAATTGGATTGTGGTCTAGGAAATTAAGAAATCGACGAAGTGCCTCATGATAGGAGTCACCCAGATGATCCATACCAAGTCTGAACGGTAAACAATTCGAATACTCGCCAGTTGACATACGCTTAAAGTACGCTTAAAAATCTAAAATGTGCCTCCAGCAGATCTGGATACATCATTGATCGCATGGCCACGAGTGGTGACTTGCTTGCATGTGAAGCACCCCCGTTCGGGACCCAACCAAGGCGAGTCTTTTACAATATCAGTCCAACAGCTAGTTTAATCTAGCCATCGCATAGGAGTTCGAAAAACAAACTGGCTCCAATCAACATGTCGATTTGCTAAGATTTGAAGAATTCAGGATCCGCTAGCTATATATGTGTGATGTTGTGATGTTTTATCGAGTTTTCTATCGATGTTGTGAAAAATGTGAAAGTATTATTACCATAAACAGCTGATATATCAACGAAGGCAAGCGGTTATTTTAAATTATACTTTTAAATTTAAAAATCGTACAGTTTTTAACATTTAAAGATGGCTAAATCCCGCAAAGAGTCCATTAAATGTAGCCATTACTTCGAGGTTATATTATTTGACTTTTGGAAGGAAAGTATTTTGCAACTCGCATGTTACCGACAACCGACACTTGCCAATGGAACACCAATATGTGAAACATGAAAATGTGACATTTCTTAAGCATAGTGGACGAAGGCTAATAGTCACTACAAACGTTCTTATGATACTGTTGTTCTGGCCCACCTAGTTGTTGCCTTTATCCACCTCTCCTAAGCCCAAAATTTCTGCGTTGAAGAATCACACGTATCCCAATAGTTGACTCAAAACTTGACTGAAGATCTTCTTCAATGGTGGAATGACTCACATCCAACAAATTGTCAAAGAGCCGCTGCCTGGGTTCCAACCGCTGGTTTATAAGCTGATGTCGCTTCGCCATTTCCACTTCATCCTTCATCAAACATTACGAAAAAAGCGCACAACAAGGTTTACTCAGCCAAACTACAATACAATTCTACGCTCACAAGTGTTCGTTCGAGCGAGACAGCATATGCTAGTGGGCTTAGAGCGCCACGATTAACGATTAATGGCAATTTTGCTACGGCGCTTACCGTTCGTAAGCAAGCTGTTCGTTACTGTTGTAGAGTCTTGTTTTTAATATTTATTTTTATTTATTTATTTTATGTTGAGACGCTTCGCACTCAAAGATCGACCTGTGCATGTAAACTTAATCAAACGAAAATATAAAATAAAAGTGAACAAGAAATCAAAAAAATCACGTCGGGGTCAAAAAAAAATACGTAGGGCTTTGTGGGGCTTATTCCAACAAATTAATTC